TAAAAAACAAATGGGTGAATGTGGCCAAAGAAAGAGAGAAGATGCTGAGTATGTACTGGTTTTATGCACAAAATAAAGTCCGTATTCACCGAATAGAAGAAGAAACACATCCAGTGTACCTCCATGATGGATTGGACTGTACCACAGTACTTGGCAGCTGTCTCTCTTTCCCCATCTTTTTGTACATACGTCGTTGCTACTTTTGAAAAAGTAACTGCCGCAGAGGATAACATCTTTTGTCTAAGGTGCTGTCTAATTGCATTGGTGATTTCAGTGTGTCTCTGTGAGCCTGCTGGATAGGCTGACTCGCTGCACACGCTCGCTTTTATAGACAGCTGAGTGGAAGATTCATGTTCACAACTGCTGCATTGTTTTTCTTTGCCTTCATGTGCTCATTTTTCAGCAGTTTAGGCAATTACATACATTAGGTATTGCTTTGCAATGCAGCAGCCATAGAGTTTGTTCTTTGTTAACTACGCTTATCCAAAGTAGTTCAAAATAACACACGATGATCCAACTCAAGGGGCAAGCTTCTGCTAACATGAGCACAGTAATGACAGTTAAGGCTGGGTGCACTACTCAAACTGTGAGTTTTAGTTATTTCACAATAAAAGCTCGCTGCAGTTGTGAAGTGAGCCCCGATCTTTGGGTCCTGCTGGCAAAGGGATAAGAACGACAGTGCTGTGCACAGCTGTGGAGTTGAACTCTCAGGCTGAAGAAATAGGCTATTAGTCTGTTTTAGATACTTTCAGTAGGAAATTACAAAATCTATATTATTATAACTATTATTAGCAAACTTCATTCATTTGTTGCACAGTCGCAGTCTTCAGCCATTCAGGTTTAAGTGATACAATTAGTGTTAGATAGTATTAGTGTGTGTGTGTGTGTGTGTGTGTGTGTGTGTGTGTGTGTGTGTGTGTGTGTGTGTGTGTGTGTCAGCAGTTACAGAAGAGCCAGAATACATGATAGTATGACAGCCAAAGCACGGAGTACATCTGAATAACTAAGGCATGTTTGTTTCAGCAAAATTTTGTTTTTGTTTTTTTACATTCTCATTTTAATACCTTTGTTTGGGGGGGGGGTTGTAGCGTCCACACACTGTTCTGCAAACCATAATTTTTATTAGATCACAGCGAGGCAGAGACACAGTGTTCATGCAAACGTTTGCACAAATATTTGGTAAGATTAGGCCATATAACAGCTCAAGAGCACGCTCAGTGACAGACTGAGATTACCCACAATGCACCACTGAATGACACAGGAAATCATTCCTGACTGTGGTCATCTCCCTGTAAACTCCATCTAACACACTGCAATAGTTACACCTTTCTGCACACGCTCTACAGTAACACAGCAAATGACAAAGTTCACAGGTTAGAGTCAATGTCAGTCATATATATTCTCACCTCTGTAATATTCATATTGAATATTTCCTTCCGGTTCCTTGGTGTACATCTGGCTGAGGATCTTACGTGGTCAGTACACACAAACAAAACAGTGAAGAAGGCGCAGCAGCGCCTCTTCTTTCTCAGGAGACTGAAAAGATTCGGCATGAGCCCCCGCATCCTCAGGACCTTCTATCACTGTGCCATTGAGAGCATCCTCACTGGATGCATCACCACCTGGTATGGCAACAGCACCGCCTACAACTGCAAAGCTCTCCAGCGAGTAGTGCGGTGCTCTGAACGGATAATTGGAGGTGAGCTTCCCTCCCTCCAAGACATCTACAGGAAGCGCTGCCTGAGGAAAGCGGGGAGGATCATCAAGGACTCCAGTCACCCCAGCCATAAACTGTTCAGACTGCTTCCATCAGGAAGGAGGTTCTGCAGCATCCGGTCCTGTACCAGCAGACTGAGAGACAGCTTTTTCCATCAGGCCATCAGACTGCTGAACACTTCATAGACACCTCAGCTTCACTACTGGAACTTCAACATTATGCACTCCATACTGTATATAAATGCCACTTGTTTTGCACAATATCCAACTCTGTATATTTTATATATTTTATTATTATTATTATTATTTTATTTTATTTTTTTACTATTTAATTTGTAAAAATGTGTATACACACACACACACACACACACACACACACACACACACACACACACACACGTAGGAAAATATTTAGTATACACATCCAGAAATGCATACACTATTATATATTGTACATATATTTATTAGTTTCAGGTTGGCCATTCTTGTATTTTGCTCGTTTGTGTTGTTGTGTTTGCACATCTCTGTTGCTTGTGGGGCTCGCACACAAGAATTTCACTCGCATGTGCTGTGCCAGTGTGCCTGCACATGTGATGTGACAATAAAAGTGATTTGATTTGATTTGATTTGATGTTTATTATTGAGTGATTTGTATAGATTACTGCTATCTGTTAAATCTGTAACATATTGTATTATGCAGTCAGCTCAGTCTGTTACTGTTGCTGTCTTGGAGCGACTGTAAGCCACATCATTTCCTTAGCGATTAATAAAGTATGCTGATTCTGAATTAGGGATTCCTGGTTAGACATCTCACACGTGCATACCACCAGTCAGGTAATCTTGTGATCATGTCTCCAAAAACACGCCAAGCTACATCACCCCCGACCTAAACCCACACATGTCTGCTGGACATCCTAAAAACATCACTTAGAAATGAACACACATATGTACTCAGTTTACAGCAATGCTTTAGTTAATTCAGCACAGAGGTTTAAGAAAATGCAAACATCATCATTTACACAAATTATATGTCAAACAACGTTGGACGTTGTTACTCGACACTCGTGTCACATTTGTCCGTCTGAAAGTTTTTACTAAAGCAAGATAAGAAACAAAAAGAGAAAGTGTTACATAAAAATAATCACGTAACCATGAACATAAATGTTGGGCCAGCTCTGTGTAAAGACGTCCATCACAGGTGTCTAAGGTTGTTTGATTGCTCGGACGAAGAAACCCTCGCTCACCATCATGTGCTCAGCAAATGATCAAAATCTCCTCCCATAAGAAAAGTGAAAAGCATCAGCACATTTGACAGGTTCCTGTGTGTTTCCCCTCAGAAGGACAGATGAGTGTTACGTCCTTACACACACTGGCTTCCTCTGCTGTATGTTTAACGGTCTGAAGAAAACGCTGCTGATCTTGGCAGCACACTCGCTTCTCTCTCTTCTTTGCCTCGTTTCCTGGAGCACAACCTATTTTTCTGTTCCAGTCCTGTGAATATAAAGACATAAATCCAGAGTCATCTGTTTTGGTCTGACTTCATTACAGGACATTCAGCTTCACAGAACTTGGCCAAGTTGTTTCTTGACGTGATCACCTGTATAAGGTTATTGTTTGACACATCTATGTTTCCTCTAAGTTACAAACACCCATGTGTTGTGGAAAAGAAGCTTATTTATAATATCAGTGGCTAACACTGTCTGCGATGCTAACAGTCTGTCAGTATTTGGAAATCACGTGGTGTTCTTGTTTGGTCCTCCGTACATGTTTATCTATCTGACACATTGAAATCGTAGTTTTCAGTAGACCAGCTTGCCTTAAGCCGACTAATTAGCCATAACCACACAGCCTATCACTGCTTCTGTTACTGCTAAGCACTCTTAATAAAAACAGACACTCTATTAAACTAAACTGTCTAACATAGCAGTAATGCCCTTTCACGGACATGTTGTGTAATCTTCTTAACGCAGCATTTCTGCCAGCTTAGTACGAGCCTGTTAGCCTGCTATGATGAAGCTGACACACCCCAGTCTTAGTAATCTGAGTGCATTTATTTATTTTACACAAAAGGTGCAAACGTCATGCCAGCTGATGTATTTGTTCAGCCTCCTGATTCTGTTTAAAGTATAAAAACAAACAATATAAAGACTGAAGATGTAAAACCAGGAACAATCTTACCTGGTGAGGTGATTAGTGCACACTCATGGTTACGCTTGCTTAAACTGGATCTTTGTTTTACAACTTACATTCCCAGTAACTGGAAAGAAGGAGAAAGTCTTATTGATCCTGATAAAGACACAAAAGGTAAAGTAAGCATACAGTCTGTCTGCATCATAGACGATAAAAACATGGCTGGAGCTGCCAAAACCACGTGCACGAAGGACTGTGAGACCACGTGCTCGTTGGCTGAAACAAACACGAGTCATTAGTCATGTTTGATATGACCCAGATTTACAAAATAGACAAGATAGAATTTACTGCTAACAAACAATGAAATGGTAATTATAATTTATTATTAATAAATTACTGCAATTTAAAAAAGCATCTGTAAAAAGTTTGGAATAAGTCTGAAATGAAAGTTTTCAGAGGAGATTATAGAAACTGTAGAGCTGAAACAAATGTCATGAATCTCTCACATGGAGACTTTAAATCATTGGCAGCCAAGGAAACTACAAAGATGTAAATTTATAAGCACATGTGAATATCAGTAAGGAACTAGAACTTTACAAGTTTAATCAATGCTGTTGACACACCGCAGGCATAAAACCGATCAATTACATAGTTAACCTTTAGTGACACGAATCGTTAAAGCTAATTGGTCTGTTCCTGTTTATGGGCGACCTCTGGCTTCCAGGCCTCAGTGGGTTACTATTACGTTTACACATGGATGTGTCACGCTGTGTCGTCACCATCACACTCACTGTTCCACGGTGTTTAGGGGAGATGCAGCTGATTAATATCAAGGACAGAAGGTGAAAAGCACAATAAGAGCGAGGGGACGATGTACTGTGAAGTGATTGTAAAGGTCTTTCTCTCAAACAGAGTGAAGGTGTTTTAAATGATCCCTCCCTCTCCCCTTTCTATGGATTCTGCTGACTTGCTGTTATTAATGTTGTGTGTGTTAACTTAAGTTACTTCTGCTCTACATCTACTGAAGAGTTATTAAGATGTGAAATGCTTATAGTGATGTAACCGTAACAGATTACAGTGTTGGTGTGTCTCCTAGGAACGGTGATCCAATGGTGAGATTCATGCTGATATTCTCTCTCCCTGCATCTCTCCAGGGCCCTTCAGGACTGAAGGCATCAAGGCCTCTGATGTTCTTCCGATTTTAAAGGAGAAAGTTGCCTTTGTGTCAGGTGAGTGTCAGTCAGTGTTGTTGGCGTTAAATCCACAACCCTCCAGTCTGTTTCAGGAGAACTTTACATCAGCCCCCTGAGTGTCCTACAGCAAAGAGCCTGTCCCCACCACCATGGTCATGCAGGACGAACACAGAGGTGTTTGAAGCATTAGGAGCTATTCTTCATGTTTAGTAACACTGTTTGATAGTTAAGAATGTTTTGAAATTTATATAATCTTTTCATGTTGAAGACAAAAAGATGGGATTTTTTTCAGTCATAAGGAAAAGGACCAGTAAGAACGTCCCGTGGACTGTCCACAGTCCTGTTTAGAATATAGTCGAGTATATTATTACTCACATATCTGCACACGTGAAAAGCTCATTGGACTCACGCACATCCTGAGGCAGGAAAGGCATCCAATCTATTCACACCATGGGAACGTCTCTCCTCTGCCCTTAGAGCTCATTCACTGCCAAAGCAAACATCCAAACAACACACCAGTGTGGCCGGCACACTCTCCTACACATAGTTTAACAAGCAATCTAACGTTGGAAGTTTGGAAGATGACCATGTGCTTCACTGTTCCCTGCTTTTATTTTGAAAACCTCTGATCCATTCCAACAATGTTAAAAAGACACTGAGAAGAAAACTGTGCGACACCTGAACAACAGAACTGTTGAGGGCAGCGTTGCTGCTCAACACGTCTGCAGCCCCTGCTGATGACCAGCAGGATGTGTCGCAGCTTGTGGGATGAGCACATGTTGACTGTCTCCCCTTTTAACCTGTAGTGGTTCAGTCCAGAACCTATTCGGTTTGTGGCTTAACCAATCAGCCAATACCACCTCGTTAAATGTTAATTGGTCAGCTGGTTTATTTGTGAAGGTCCATTTTTTTTTCATAGCTATTTTTTTTGTGGTCACTTAACAAAGTGGTAACACTTTAGTTACACTTTAAGTGTCGCTGGACGTCATTCCACTGATTCACATGTAGATGTAAACTCACCCTGGATTACCTGCCTGAACACGTGTGTTTTGGCTTTAAGGTTTTTCTTGTGCATCTACTTGCAGGTGGACGAGATAAACGAGGAGGACCAATTCTGACATTTCCTGCCAGGAGCAACCATGACCGAATAAAACCCGAGGACCTGAGGAGGCTGGTAACCTACCTGTCTACTGTCCCCAGGTACTCACAATGCCATCACACACACACACACACACACACACACACACACACACACACACACACACACACACACACACACACCTGCCTTCATTTTCACGTTAGAGGTATCATCTGTTGTCTTTCTACTAGCCGCTCTATTAGGACATTTAGTTAGACTCAAGTGTGACGGGCACTTAAGGAAGCAGTGAAGGCTGGAGTGGACATTTAAGCAATTAAGTGCTTCCTTGTAGTCTGTTACAACAGCAGGCGTAGACCAGTGTTTAATTTGCATCAGCATGAAAGCTGCAGTGTTTGCAGCACACAAGAGCCGGTCTGTGAGCACTCACACAGTCTGAGGGTGTTACAAGGAAAGCAGTCGAAATATTAGGCACAGGCCTGCCCCAGTCATTCTGCACACAGGAACGTTTTCGTTTTGGTCTCATAGTTTTTAATATCGTTTCAGTTTAAGTTGATTTAAAGCAGCGGTTCTCAAACTGTGGGGCAGGCAGCATTTAGACGACCACAGGAAAAAAATCCAGTTAAAATATGTTCAGTTAGTAGTAGTTTTTTTTAGCAGGTGATTTTTAAAGCTAAAATTAAATTGCAGTCTCTTTTTAGCAGTTGTGGGGTGCATGAATTTATTTATCATCCAAAGACATGCAGCTCGTGGGGATAGGTTAGTTGATTAATCCAAATTGCCCGTAGGTGTGAGTGCGACTGGTTGTCTGTCCCTGTGTGTTGGCCCTGCGACAGACCTGTCCAGGGTGGACCCCGCCTCTCGCCCTGTGACAGCGGGGATAGGCTCCAGCGCCCCCCGCGACCCTGAAAAGGAGAAGCGGAAGCTGATGGATGGATGGATCTAAAGTTTGTCCAGAATCATTTTAAATGTAAAACGTATCAGGATGAAAGCTTGAGTAAAATAACTGAGTTATACAGTGAAATGTTGTAAACACACATAATATAAAATGCTGCCTGTTCAGATACAGTGTGCTGACAGTGTTAAGCATCATTCAGCCGTCTGACTGATCTGGTAAATATCTGCACAAACTTGATCGAAATGATTTGATTTAACTTATTCGAGACCCACATTTCACTGAGTTGTGCACAGAGGAATTCAAAATGTAAAGTAAAAATAGCTGTGCAAAGGGCCGAGACCACTGCCGGGTCATTTCCAGACTGATGCCAGAATTTGAGAGGTTTGTCAAGATGATGCTTCAGCCCAATGGGTGGTGGTAGATCAGACCATGTGACAGTAGAGGACTGCAGTGAGAGTGGCTTTATGCCGTCCTGCGTGTAGCTGAGACTCTTCAGAATGGACCCCAAACACATCCGTCACATGTGAGTGAGCCCGAGGATAAAGGGCGGCCAGTTTGTGTTTAGAGACGCCTGCTGAAGAAGGAAATGTGACACGGTGGTGACGTGTTATAGAAAGTTTGCAACCAGGGCCTTTGACAATAATCTGTACTGTCAGAGACTAATGCACACATAAATGCATTTACCCACTTTTGCTAATCGAACTGCTGTTTCCAGGGTGACGGGGTCTGTCTGCAGGTTATAATGGATGAACTGACTTTGTATTAATAGACTCTGCATGTTACTGAAGGTGGAGCTGTGGCACTCGAATCAGCTGCAGTAACTGAATTTTAGGCACTGAGTTGTGGCAGTTTGGGTTCAGTTCAGTTGTTATGCTGCAGTTCCTCTGAGTCAGGCACTGAACTGCTTGAGTTTCTGTCTGTTTATGGCTCTGACTGGGAGAAATCTTCTCAACTGTCAGCTTCAAGAAGCCATCATCCAGCACTTGAGCTGTGCTCAACAAACGCCTGCATGTGGATGTGCTGTGCTAGAGGTAGATACATGCACACATCTGGTTGCACTGAAAGAAAGGAAAACACTGAAAACTGCCACTTTGTTACCTCAATATTAAAGTACAGCTCCCCCTGATTCCTGCTTACTTGTGTTTCAGCTGGAAACATAATGTTCCTCGTAGAAACAGTACGTTTCATTCCTGCAGAGCCCCCCGCTGCAGCTTCTTCTTTTATTGCAGCGTGTTTAGTTTCTTCTGCAAACAGAAAACAGTTTACCTGCTCAGAACGTCAAACACGTCCATGCTGGAATATATCATCCAGATTATCTGATGGGATTGCACTTATGTTTTACCTGCAGTGTGACTGTCACTTACAGGCCACAGCAGAGCAGAATAAGATTGACGTCTTCTGCTAAATGTCCCTCTGAAAGTTTCCTTTAAATATCAAACATATTCAGACTGCTGACGACACCAGTGAAACAAGGCTGCCGCCTCAGGCGCTCCCCGTCTGTGGGGCAACCACAAATGGACCTGATGGTTTTGAGACATTGGTCTGTAGCAGACAACTGCATTGTCTGGTTCACTTTAAGTCTCGTATAACAGGGATACTAATCATTTCCTCTGAGCCTCTTCTGCCTCCTCATCTTGTTTGTCTGTGTCCCGTCAGCGAGGACGTATGCAAACGTGGCTTCACTGTCATCATTGACATGCGAGGTTCAAAGTGGGAGCTGATTAAGCCTCTGCTCAAGACGCTGCAGGAGTCTTTCCCAGCTGAGATCTGTGTGGCTCTCATCATTAAGCCCGACAACTTTTGGCAGAAACAGAAGACGAACTTCGGGAGTGCAAAGTTCTCTTTTGAGGTCAGTGGGCTTTGTGTGTTTTACCCAAAACACGTTCAAAGGAAACCTTATTAACAGTAAGATGATTAGAGATTAGTGCTGTAATGCTATTTGTGTGGCAAACTGATAATAACTAATAATACTTTCAGGCATCTTTGATTTCCACAAGCTGCCATCATGATTTACGCATGTATTTATATATGTGGCACAGACGCTGCAGTCACTACACTGTAGTAAGCACATGAAGCACCGCAGGTAGTCAGAACTCACGTCTAACCTGTGTCTGTGTGAACAGACCAACATGGTGTCAGTTGAAGGTCTTGCCAAGCTAGTGGATCCCTCCCAGCTCACAGACGACTTTGAAGGCTCGCTGGACTACAACCACGAGGAGTGGATGGATCTCAGGGTGTCATTGGAGGAGTTCATGTCCAATGCTGTTCATCTGCTGTCCAGACTGGAGGATCTGCAGGTGGGGGCAGCAAAGGCTCAAAGAATGGGAGTAACTGCTATGGCCGATATGACCAGTGTTTCCTGTCTTCTGCAGGAGCTCCTGTCCAAGAAGGACTTTCCTGCAGATGTGGAAGGCTCTCGGCGACTGATAGAGGAACACACCCAGCTTAAGAAAAAGGTGAGTCACTATCAGTACAGGTGCAGACACAGTCAGAGACTTTGTTATCGCTCTAGATCGAGCTGTGCTAAAGCCAGCACAATTCAGTGTTCTCCTACTATTAATGAGAGGCCTGAACTGTGCAAAGCCACTGAAGCTACTCTCCTGCAGGTGCTAAAGGCTCCAGTGGAGGAATTAGACCAGGAAGGCCAGAGGCTGCTCCAGTGTATCAGATCGAGTGATGGCTTTTCAGGGAGAAACTGCATCTCAGGCTCAGCTGACTTTCAGAGCCTTGTGCCCAAGGTAAGCAACGTCCAGCCCAGCAAAGATCTCCCAGCATACACTTTTTTATTTAAGCTAAGGTTAACACAGGCTGGCCCCAAACAAGAATAGTAGCTTCTGTTGTGGTTTATCTATACTTTCTGATGCAAACAAAACTTTGAACCTAGACATGAGAATTGCTGTGGCACATTCAGATACTAATGCATCCATGCATGATGCTTGCAGATGCTTTTGGCCTTATATAAGAGTACTTACTGGAATATTAACTGCAAACCTGCAGGTATACTTTCATGCCTACATAATCAGGGCCCACATCGTACATGACCAGTAACGTTGACCGCTTTGAGGCCACTGTTGTTGTGATTTGGTGCTATAGATAAAAGTGAACTGAGTCTAGATGATTATTGACAGTTTTGTTCATAACTAAATGAAACTCACATCCTTCCAGCTGCTGAATGCTTAAAGCACATGGTATCATAACACAAGATTCAGTCCACAGCCTTATTTTTTCTCATTAGCCAGCTCGTTAGCAACCCTCATTATCTGACAAGTGCTGGCTGCATATTAGCTCATTAGCCAAAGGACTCCACAGGGAAAATTTGAGTGCAGAACTTGTTTGCATTAAGCACATGAAGTACATGTGCATTGCCTGCGTGAGCAGCATTTACATTGATGTATGAGTGTGAGACATCTTTCATATTTAAATCTGTGCTTTACGTTTTGGATTAAAGAGGATCATAAAGGCAATATCAAACCGGCCAATGGCATGCGAGTGAGAAGGTGAGGCTAAACTGTGGAATTATACACATGCAGGTGCTGTTTTGTTCCCCACTTGTGCACCTGCAGTACTAAACACAGCAGTAACACAGCAGTGTAAAAGACAGACGTAATGAACTGTTGGTTCAATCCAAAGAAAATCTGCCATCACATTCAGATCAGAAGTGATGTGCTGAATGAAATGTAAGACACACTCGATGAGCTTGCTGTTGTCATGTGACACATTGTGCTTTTCCTGACAGGTGGCCAGTCTGCTGGATAAGCTGCATTCCACCAGGCAACATCTCCATCAGATGTGGCATGTCAGGAAACTGAAGCTGGACCAGTGCTTCCAGCTGCGCCTCTTTGAACAGGATGCAGAAAAAGTGAGTTACACCTAAATATGATGAGAGTGTGAGGAAGGACGAGGCTGGGATGAGTACAAAGACATCAGGGGCCTGTGCTGGCGTGTGCACCAGCTCTGATACAATGCTGTTATGCATGCCTCATTCACCTGCACTGCTTTCTGTTAAACGCACTGGGGTTAGTATACCTGACCTGCAGACTAGAGCAGCCAGGGATTGAATGACCAGCCTTAGCTGACCTGTGCTACCTCCTGAGCTGCAGCCACAGTTCAGCATATCGAGGCTATCTTCTTCTTCTTTGGGTTTGACATTGAAAGATAAGGCTAAGTTTTCACACTGAGGTAGTTATCAGCTGGATAATATGTTGTTCGTCTGCTGTTTCGGCCTGGCAAACCTTCAATTGCCTTCAAGTTTCCTCAGATAATTTCAGGACACACTTTGTCGCTGAGGTATGCCGGACTTTAATAACTCTTCAGAATCACCTTGTTGGTGCAAATATGCTTTTTATGATTATAGTCTAGCTGCTAGCAACAACATGCCTAAAACTACAATCTAAAACTGATGCTACATTGTCTGTTTTATTCCTCGAGGTTGTGCATGAATGCTTCATAGTTTGTGTGAAGTTGCTTAAAAATCAAATGTTCAGGTAGAAGGACGAGTGAAAAAGCACCACTTTAAAAATGACAGATCAGCTCCTTGGAAGCAGAAATCTGAGTATGAATGAAGTTCAAGACTTACACAGTTACTCGGGAAAGACAATGACTAAAAACCCTCTTACTGTCTGCACACCGAGGTCCGGTCACCTCATCTTCTAGGTCATGCTGTTTACTAGAGAACTGATTGGTCAGTACTCTCTTATGTACTTCCAGAGCTGTGCCGTATACAGTAAGTTACCATGGTGATGTAAAAGGTAAATCACCATTAAAACCTGAAAACCTCTGATTGTACCTGATAGAACGGGCTTCTCGTCCTGAGAAGTAGATGATGTGTAAACACCAAAGGCAGTGTAGCTCAACATCTATGAATAAACTGTCCCTTTGTGATGGAGACCTGTTGTTGATGGAGCCTCTGTGTACTGAGTCACACGTCATAATGAGACGCTGCCATCTAAAAATAGTTTCAGGCACTTTGACAAAAATAACCTAAAATCACAGAAGATTTACTTCATTCAGCACAGCTGCAAGCAGCTGCTCTTTACATCTGTACAGTCACTGTGTTGGGAAACTCCACTGTGGCCTGGATGAATCAGCCTGTGGCATTTCTCTAAACACAGGAATAAGTCGCAGTTATTCCAGTGGAAAATCAGCCAACATCGCTTTACTTTCTCCGAGTTAGTTGGAATTGTGAATGAATGTTAGAATTCCCGTCATTCCATTCATTAACATACCAGCCTGTTTACAACAGCTACTCCTGTTTCAGTCCAAAATGCTATATATGGACATTTCCCATATCAGGACCAGACTGTAGCTATTGTTCAAAGGCAAAGGTGATTATTATGACTTACTTTAGTTGTTATTCTGCTCGGGTGATGGGGATACAAAGACTGGCCTCACTGTTGTACAGGCTCACAGGCAGGTCCTGCTACATTAAAATACAGTAATTACTACGAAAGCTGCAGTTTTTATGTTCATGGAGGCACAGTTTATAATATCTTACTGTCAGCTTGTACCTCTGCCTCCTGATAACAGAGCTGTGTTGTTGATGGGAGCATAAAAGCGCCCCTCTCGTACACAGACAGACACTGGCGGCTTGCTCTGCTGCTCCATACAGAAATCCACATGCAGATAAATATTTACTGTAAAGCAAACAGAGAAAAAAGAGAAGGTTTTTGTCCACATCAGTGTTGTCACAGCGAGGCACTGTGGGGGTGTGTGGACCCGTTTACACCGGGAATCACTCAGCTCTCGCGGTCGGGCCGGGAAAACATTCAGGCCTGACGAGGCGTCTGTTTTGTGGAAAACGCTGCAAGAAAAATGGCTGTGTCTTGGTTGCCGTGGTTACCGCGAGGCACAATAACCAACCCGTATCTGCGTGAAAGGATGAATTCTTCATCATCCTTCAGGGTAGGCTAACTTTTTCTTAACTTTCCACACTGTAGACACTCAGCTGTGTATGTCTGTGTCTGCACTGAAGTCTTTGGGACTTTGGATTTGGAGGGATTCGGTGCATTACTGATAATGTTTTGTGTTATCACGAGTTTACATGTGGTGTGAATCATTGCACTGATCTGCTGTGTGGTCTGCCTGCAGATGTTTGACTGGATCAGCCACAATAAGGAATTGTTCCTGCAGAGCCACACGGAGATCGGCCGAGGTTACCAGCACGCTGTGGAGCTACAGACTCAACACAATCACTTCGCCATGAACTCCATGGTACACGACGCCTTCGTAGTTCTTTGCAAACCTCATTTATCATTTATCGTGTTGTAAAAATGACTGGCAGGTCAACTGGTTTAATTTCTGTGTAAACTGCTGACAGTTGGAGCAACAGTCTTTTGATGGAGGCTCTTTCTTCCCAGAATGCCTACGTAAACATCAACAGAATCATGTCGGTGGCGAGTCGTCTGGCGGAGGCCGGCCACTACGCCTCCACTCAGATTAAACAGATCTCAGGACAGCTGGATCAGGACTGGAAAAGCTTTGCTGCTGCACTTGACGAACGCTCCACCATCCTGGCCATGTCATCTGTCTTTCACCAGAAGGCTGAGCAGGTGAGATCCCAGGAAAACCTTCCCAGATGTTTCTGAGCAGATACTCACTTACCCAGCCTTCACAGGGGGGACGTCGGCCACCCTTTCTAACCGATGTAACAGAGGACAAGCTGCACCTCTTACTGGTGACTGATCGGGTAACTGTCTAATCTAAAAGTCTCTCTGCAGTAGACACATGTCTAGAATGTAACATGCAAATGGGACATTTATGCTGTCTGATTATATTTAATAGATCAAACTGCTCTACTGCTGATTCTTGGAAGGTTGACATGGCAACAGATGGAACCTGTTTGATTCCTGCTGGGCCCTTGACATTAGCTACAAGAGAACATTTGAGAAAGCACGAGATGAAAGACAGGGAGAGAAGTGGGGACAGGAGAGGGATTGGATGACACTGACTCCAACAGAAAAGCAGATACGTGTTGACTCAGGAGGAAAAATGGAAAGAAAACTGGCAAAGCTACAGAAAGGATACAGTGAGAGTAGAGTGTGAAAAACAGGGAGGAGATAAAGTGGGTCTTCCTTTTAAGCCATGTAGACGGTTCTAAAGAGGCTGTTGAGAATGCATGTAAACAAAAAACTATGATGAAATAATGAGATAATAAAAAAGGATTCACAGGTCAGTTCAGCTTTATTTATAAAGTGCCACACCAGCCATCGCCTCGCTGGCATTGGTTAACTGTATGACTGGGATTTGCTGTGGAATATCAGACACCCTGTGCTTTTCACAGGTCAGAGCAGGTTCAGCCTCAGCACTGTGGCACATGTGAAAGGGTCCCGCATTAGACATGGGTCAGAACCACTGTCAGGCTGGAGCAGGGTGTCAGGGTGTGGAGGATGAGCTAATTGATAGTCTAACCTAAACCATCTGGGACATTAGGTTTTGGTCCATACGGCGATCCCAGGAGCTTTGGTATTCCCCTGGTCCAGATGTGGGAGGAGATGTCCAGGACGCCATGAGTACCATTTTGAGCATGGACTTGGCTGCTGCATCATTTTTGGCGTTTCTTTGAATTCAGGCCTCTGTGGGTTGATCATTTACACTTCCATCATTTGGATCATTTCAGCACTTTCTGCAGAATTTCCACCTGTTTATATATTTATATTTAAAGTTATCCATGAATTCTCCTTTGGAAAATCTTGTAATATATAGCATGTTAGAATTTTTGGAAATTTGCCTCCCAACTCTGACCCTGGTTGAGACGGTGACCTGGTTCAGAGGCAGATTTGATGAGATTTCCCAAACGTGCAGACCAGTATTAGTCTAGCTATAGCTCATGTGAGCAGGCACTGAGTCCTGCCACATCTGGACTCTGGCTGACCTTGACCTGCCTGATGTTAGGCCCAATATTTGTCCGAACTGCAGGACTTTATCTCAACACTACCACCTTAAAAATGAAGAAAACTGTTCTACTTTCATCAAGAGTTTGAAGCATTACTGTAGTGATGCAGAGAAGGGTAGATTAAACGCTCCCATACGGACAGTAAGCCACAAAAGGACGTTGATCATGGTTATATGGAACAGACCAAAGCTGACCCAGAATATCTGATACTGTCAAGGAACCAGAGAAACATCATTTTGTTGAATGAATCTTCTCATGAATGCACGCACTGTATGAATCCATCTGTGTCTGTTTCATTCATAAGTTTCTGTCTGAGGTGGAGACCTGGTGTAAAGTCTGCAGCGAGGGCGGGTTACCATCTGAGATGCAGGAGTTGGAGATTGCCATTCACCGTCACCAGAGCCTTTACGAGCAAGTGACCCAGGCGTACACTGAGGTAAACCGCCCAACCTACTCACTCAAATGAATGTTAGCGGCAGCTGAAGCTGACAAACATCACACAAAAACAAAGCACAACGCCGCTGTGTGCCTGCAGCGTCTGTGATCTGTGAAGAGCTGATCACTTTGGTAATGTGGTCACTCCACAACCTGTTTGTCTGGAAAACATTTAGGATTTAAAACATCTTTAATGTCCAGAAACTTCGCTGTAAATGATGTCACGTGTAAAAAACATTGAAATATTTGGGCTCCAGAGCCTCTTGTGGATGCTGCCAGTACTGCGGACTGAGACTGGCTGTGATGACAGGGTGCCATCGGGCAGTTGCTGCACTAACCCTTCAAGCTGTTGTGTGAAGACACTTCAGTAAATGTATTCTGTGCTCGCAGCAGCATTCTGGAGTTTTATCTTTAGACGGGGGTTAAATGAGTGAAGGTGAGAGATAGTCCCATGGTTGCTTTAAAGGAGGAGAGACTTCCTCTTTAGTGGGATCAGTCATGCCTGCAGTGGCTTCAGATCCTTTGGATTCTGGTTTTCAATAATCTGTACAACCATGTGACAAACATTGTTTTTTGCATACTTATGCAAATGTGACATGCACCATGCTAATTCATTTATAGAAGCCTTTCTCTTGGGTGGGCTGTACAAGTGCATCAGATATATTTTGCGACCTCTTTTTGACATTGTAGTTGTTGCTAATGAGCGTGTTGGATTTGTGCTGCAGTGGTCCCCTATGGCTGTGAGTAGTCTCGAGTCTCACAGTCATACAGTCCATGATGGATTGCAGCTGCTGGGACAGTTTAGCTTGTTCTGCCTCATAGTCAGATCTGTTGCACACTAGAACACCACTCTAACCAGAACCCACAGCTGAGAACAAACTGGTTTGTGTGCCAGACTCAACGGGAACAAGGACTGCTGTCACTGCAGTTCAGGACACTGGTATTGGAGTTCTTAAGGTGAGGAAAGTGCAGACATCTGACTGTTGCCCCAAAGTTTATTATTACTTACATGTTTATTTCTTCAAGGAAAATGTGTGTTTCTGGTTTCACCCACATACGTGTGTAGATGCACTGGAGTGACATCACATTCTTAATCCATAAGGCTTTAACGGCCCACCCTTTGCAGCAACAGCAGCTTCCACTCTTCTGAGAGTGATTGTTTTCCACAATGTTTAGCAGAGCTCAGACATGTTGGACAAGAAGGTCTGGTCCCGGCTATTTCACCCTGAAGGTCTTCTATCGGGTTGAGGTCAGGACTCTGTGCTAGTCAGAGTTCTTCCACATCTAACTTGCTCCATGCTCAAGTCAGAAGTGCCATTATCCTGACAGCTTCCAAACCCAGATTCATCCATCGCCAGACGGAGAAGCATGATTCGACGCTCCAAAGAGCACGTCTCCACTGAGTCCAGTGCCGGTGTGCTTTACCCAACTGCATCAGATGTGTTTGGTGATGTAAAGCCTCAGAGTTGCTTAGCTATGGAAGCCCATTCCATTAAGCTCTCTACAAACTGCTCTCGAACTAATCTGAAGTGCCACATGAAGTTTGGAGGTCATTAGCATTTGATGCTGAAAGTTGGTGACCTCTACACACTGTGCAAAGCATGGCGGACAAAGAAGCACTGTCGTCGGGGAATCTGTTAAAGTGTCACAAATAAGATAATCCTGTGATTGGTGGTCAGGGATTCAATTCATGGTCATGGTGACAAATCACAACAGCAGCTGGTTAAATGGGGCGTGTTGTATAAAGCTCTTTGAGCGCTCAGGTTGAACAGTTTGTAGGTGGCAGAGTCGTCTTTTTGTTTTATTGTAATGACCACAACCATACTTTAAATCCTAGAAACATATTAAGACTTTTACAGTTGGAGCACCAGTGACTGCTGCTCATGTGATTCATGTGATTTATGTGTTTGCAGGTGAGTCAGGATGGTAAAGCCCTGCTGGATGTCCTCCAGAGGCCTCTCAGTCCAGGCAACTCGGAATCTCTTACAGCCACTGCAAATTACTCCAAAGCGGTCAGTGTCCCTGTGTTACCAATAGGAAACATGCCTACACCATCTACCGATTAAGCTAACGTTTGTGTTTCTCTGTAGGTGCACTGTATCTTGGACGTGGTTCATGAGGTTCTTCACCATCAGCGGCGTCTGGAGAACATTTGGCAACATCGAAAGGTCCGATTGCACCAGAGACTGCAGCTCTGTGTATTCCAGCAAGATGTCCAACAGGTAAACACACAGCAATGTTCAGGGTGTGACCAAAAGGTTCTGAGAACAGATCCATAAAAACGTTATATTTCCGTCCTTCTTTTCTCATTGAAGACCAGCTTCTTTTTTCAGATGGTCTGCTATTTTTCCATCTATCAGTGGAAGACCCATTTTGCCCCGTTGCACTTGCGCCTCTGTTGTGATCTCCTGAGCTGTGTGGTGAAATCATGGCGCGCGTGCCTGGACATGTCTACAGGGTGGAGAATGATTACAGTTTTGATTTTGATGGAAATATTCTCATCCCATCCTAGCAAACGTCCCCGTGCTGGCCAACAGTGGGTAGCAGTAGCTGTAACTGTCGGGCAGTGTGGGCAGGGAACTCAGCGTGCCAATGCAAAGCCCACAGCAGTTTTGGGGGTCCCCCCACATGGCTTCCTGTGGGCAAGCTTGCAGTCCACATCTAGAGTGTGGGCATGCTGTGCATACATACACTGCAGGCCTACAATGGGCCCCACTGGAGACTCTACTTAGTGTGGACGGTCCACAGTCAGCCAATTCTATGGGCTCCCAGTCTGGGACCCCACATTTCACTGTGGCTCCAGTTTGACACATTGACACTCGTGCATCACCGACAGCAATGACCGATGTGTGTGTGATGAACGTACCACACGTTCTCTGCTGCCTTCTGTGTCTCCCACGTGTGTGGTGGGAACATTGTGGTGACAAAGTGCTCTGGTGTAAGCCCAGCGTCAGATAGTGAGGCACCAGGAGTGAGATACAACCAAGCACCGCATCATTCATCTCTGAATTCTGCCTGAGCAGCTTTTTGTTCTTTGTTAAATAAAATCACTAACATGAAACGACTTTCAGTGTCTCTGCATCAAACTTCAGCAATAGTGTGCTGGGCTTTAACACATGCATCCAATTCAGACGGTGCCACCTATAGGTTCAGTAAGGAACAGCAGGTACATGGTTAAACATTACTGTGCAAAAGTCTCAGCCTCCCCCACATTTCTTTATATTTTGACTTTAATGTAAGTGGACTTGAGCAATAGTTTTCCTTTAAAATCAGTAGTGGACTAAAGAGAGGTTAGTAATCCACTCAACACTGACCTATGACCTATGAGTCATGCAGGCAAAAAAAGGTCCCAAACTCAAGGAATAAACCATCAAGTGAAAGCAACACAGTGAAGCACTTTCAGTCTTTATTGAAGCAGTCAGTGTTCTTTATTTCCATTTATGTGTCACTGTTAGTATTTCCCATTTTTATTAAATAAAGAAAGTGAGGGGTGGCATTCTTGCACCTTACTCCATGTTTCAGTTGTATTTTCCACGTCTGAGTGTAGAGCTATGCTGTAAGGAAGAGCCGCACCAAACAGGAGAAAGCTCCGTACAGCTTTCCAAAGACTGAACGTCTGAGCTTCTACAAATTAACCTCACACATGAAAGCTAGCTGGCTATAAGCACGCAGGTGGTTGGGACGGTGACTGGCCTGGAATCACTAATGCATTTACCAGCTCAGCTCTGACAACATGCAGGTCCTGGTGGTGCCAGCGTTTGCTAAAAGCTGGCCAGGTCGGTCAGTGTGATGATGTGTGGTGAAGCTTTTGCACAGTACAGGAGGTTTTATTTAAGAATCCCATTTTGTTGAATTTTCATGCAAGGCCCAGCTGTACATATGTGTGTTTATATTTCTTTGGGGAAATATAAACACACTCTTTAACTTTTCTGGAGGACAGACACATATCAGCACATTGAATTCATTTGCACAGGCCTGATGTATCTGCAGCTCTGATGCATTTAGTGTATGTACAAACAGGCCTTGGCAGAGCGAGTTAGAGCTGCAAACTCACAGATGAATGCTCTAAGTTTTGGCGCCATGCAAATATTTATTTAACCCAGGGGAGACTGTGGGAGAGTGTTTAAGAGAAGTAAGAAGACAAAGAGACAGACTGAAGAAGAGATCATATCAGTGGGTTATAAATTCACTTAAAGCAGAGCTTTGCAAGTTGTACTTGTCATGCATCACTTTCTATGAGCCCCCAGAGGGAGAGGCACAGGCACAGAAAGTGAGAGAGCGACCTTATACAATCGTGCATAAATCACTAGAAAAGGCTGTTGCACGAGTGCTAATGCTACAGGATATACATGACCCCAGAGATGAAGAGTGAGAGATGCAGACGTGAAGGCTGAGCGTACGATGTGTGCAGATCACCAAAGACAGTCCAGCTGCAGTTTCAGTCTGTGCACTGTGACCCTACACTGACGTCTCTGTGGCTCCAGCTGGACCTGCTGCACTGACATCATGAGTGCACGCTGTTGCTTCAAGGCCTTGAAACACATAATTTGCTAATGTGCGACAGGCTGGATGTTAATCCTTAGGATCCAGAGGTTGCCTGAGCTGCTGGTCTTACTGGACAGAAGATGGGTTGCCTGGGTTCATATTTTATTGCAGCAGTCATGCATAACATGCAGAAATGAAGATGTGTCAATATTTCAGTATGAACATTTAATGGAAAGAATGGGCCTCTGTTAGTACACCGTGCACCTCATTTCCATTTATCATTGGACTGTTTTATCATTGGAGATCTGAATGTCTTCAAATTATTGTCACTGTATTTACACAGCTATGTACAAGCTATATATACATATATTTGTCCTGCAGGAGACTCAGAGGGTAATGAGTGAGAGATCCAACATTTGGTTTCATGTCCAAACTCTGATTACATCATGTTTGTGCCTTAAAAAAGAGGCATCGATTTGTTTGATCTTACATGGCACACAGCAGTGGTAGCAGTGGAAACATTCTGACGTCACCAGATACAAGAATCAAGTGAACAAGTAACCAGTCAGCTGCAGGGAACCATACACTCGTAGGACTTTTCTCAGTTAACCAAACTGTGGAGGCGCAGGTTGACTCTGGAGTCTGTACATTGAAATTCCACGGGCAGGTCACCCACTACCCCCTTGTGGAAAGGAGGGACCACCACTATGCCACTTAATAGCCAATAATATATTTTAAGAAATCACAATTTCTTTCAGCAAATTATTTTAGTCAGAGTTTTAGTGGCTCTCAAACCTTTACAGGGCCAAAAACATGTTTTTTCATTGTTTATTCCCAGTCTCAGATGAACTGGAACCAGTACTGGGGTTACTGTCCAGGGGAGAAAAGGCTACAAAAGCCACAGAGCTAACAGCTCATAACACACTCGTATATGAAAAACATGGCATGGAGACATCCTGCTCTTCTCAGCTGCACTGACCTACATTTCCCACCCAGATCATGAAGGTTTCATTGATTTCATTCTTTATTCATGAGCTCTGAGACCATTTTGTGCATTTCTACACATGTCGGCAGAATAAGAGTTGGAAGTAGCAACGAGAGGTTTAGCAGGTGACCTTAAATCTTTGCTGTGTCTTCGGGATGATCTAAAGAAGGTGTTTTCTCCCGTCCAGGTGATGGACTGGATAGAAAACCATGGCGAGGCTTTCCTCAGCAAACACACGGGCGTTGGGAAATCCCTCCACAGAGCCCGAGCCCTGCAGAAGAGACACGACGACTTCGAAGATGTAGCTCAGGTAAGTTACTGGATTTGATCCTACTCTGAAGGCTCCTCTTCTCTGTTGTTTTGTTATGTTGTGCTGCAGTTTAGCTGAAAGGAGCAGGTCCAATTCGTCCAGGTCTTGTTAGCAGTAGAAATAAAAAAAGGTCAGCTTTGCCTAGAAGAAGCAAAAAAATCAGCCCAGTTTTTAATCACGTTTATCTGCTCACTGTGCAAACATCTGTTAGTTATCTGCCCTGATTAATTCCAAATTTTCTAAACCACCGTGTCTGCTGGTGGAAGCATTAGGAAATGCCTTTACACGACCATATATGGTCAAAGGCTTTTCTGAAAGATCTGCAGAAGATGTTATCCACATCCATTCCTCAATTTCACCGCTGCAGTTTGTCATGTGTTAAACAAACAGCCGAGTGTTGGTACTGAAGACGATCAGTCCAGCCTTTCTGCTCCTAATCTCGTGCACGTGTGAAACTTCACATGAACAGCTCACTCGGCCGCCTAACTTTATCTTTTATTGTGTGTTTATTTTTGCAGTCCTAACTTTGGCGCTTTGGTCGGCTGTGGTTGGTTTTAATGTGAGATGAAAATGGATGTTGACTTGACTTTATATGCAGCTGAAGTTGTGAAGACTGGATCGCGTGTCGGTCAGATTTGGCCCCCTCGTCTGCCGGTGCACGGGGCCGTGTGGCGTAAAGTCCAAGGGCTGATTTATTTTTAGGCTTCAGACAATAAAGGTCCTTGTACAACATTATTGTTGCTGCGATGTTCTCTCTTTTTGTCATCTCTCCTCTGTCATTTTATTCTCTTCATATGGAAAAAAGTTTTGATCTTTTATTAAAAGTTTGCCCTTTTTGACTTCAGTCATGTCAGAGCTGTCTGTAAGTACCAGGAAGCATCGGTGTAACTGGAATCTATTACACTGGTTAATACAGTAAAGGGATAATCCCATAAAGAAGCGAGTGGTAATCCTATAAAGAGTAGTTGTATGATCGGATATTTACACTCTGGATTAGGATTATCCTTCAGATCACCAGTGTTTACGTCTCTCTGTCCCTTCCCTCGTTAGTTCACTCTCCTTTTTGCAACATGGATACATTTAGCACATGTCAGATGAATATCTAAGTATATTTGCACAAACAGAAAGACGTGGCACATGTCTGCAAGTCTTGCTTTGTGATGTGATGCTGTGTCATTGCTCTCCTCATCTGATTAGGAACATTTGAGCCTCCCGAACATCAAACAGAATGACTCAAATACTATTTTACTCCCGCTGAAGTCTTCATCTTCCAACTTCTCCTCCCGGCTTTAAGCCTTCATTTCTTCAGAGAGCGTTGGCTCAGTCGCCTGCTTCACTACAAAGACGTGTTGGCTGATTAGGACGTCCTAATATGAAATATGATGACACTGAAAACTCTGTTAACAATGCAAATATGTGTGTACAACGTTTGGTATGTGGATTGTGTCTGTTTCACTTGGTTGTCCATGAGCAGTTACAGGCTTATTACAGGTGATTGGTTGTTGCAGCTTATTGACAAGATAACATTGTAGCCTTTTGTATGGAGTCTACATTAGGCTACGTTCACACTGCAGGCGAAAGCGCATCAAATCCGATTTTTCTGACCCTGTGCGACCATCTATCCGATCATGGTGTGACAGTGTGAACGGCACAAAGCCGATATTTTCAAATCCGATCTGGGTCACTTTTGTATGTGGTCCTGAATCCGATACATATCCGATGTTTCAGAAAGCGTTTGATGGTCAAGTCGTATTAAATCCGTCTTTTACGTCACTGACAGAAGACAGACGCCAATTATCAGCGCCGGAGAAGACATCACGAACACTTCCTGGCCATCCAGTGAAACTGTTGGGAAGACAACGTTGGAGAAACGTGAACATTTTATTTGTCTCTGCAGATTCTGACAGAAATCTGCAGCTATCCTTTGAAGCAGCGCTCCTCTAAAACAGCAATAAGGATCATTATTAGGTTATCGACATTATTATGTAAATAACAAAATAACTTGGGGAAAATTGGGAAACGTGAAGTCTGAAGTCTTTACATTAAGGCCATCAGTCAAACATACTGTTGTAAAAAAATCGGATTTGATCAAAAAATCGGAATTGAGCATTAAGACCTGCAGTGTGAACATAGCCTCTGTGTGGGAGCATTTATTGTGTCGGACCATCAGTCGACCTTTTGTCCAGCTCTCTGTGGGGGTTGGAGCCCCTCCACACTGTAGGGTGAGACGCGGGTCCACCCTGTGCAGTCATAAAGCTAACACAGAGAAACAGTCGCACACATATGAACACCTGCAGAATCACAGCGTGTAACCTAAATGCATAGTTAAGCTCCTAAGACCTGAGTGCATTTTTAATTTCTCTGTGCCGTTTGGGCTGATGGGCACCTGATGAATGTAAAAACAAAGAATCACCTGATTTTTTATTTTTTTTACCTGATATTTGTTTCTGATAAAAATGAGATCCACATAAGAGGACATTAGTCTGTGGCAGTGTAATGTCCTCGTAAGTGGACATCAGGCCCTTGCAGAGACACTGCACATTAGTGGCAAAACACCAGGACCTGAAAAATTCAAAGAACAAAGGTTACGCCCTCTTCTATAAATGTATAAGGAATCTTCTGAAGGTGATTACATAATGGTTTTATTCAAAGTTTCTTACATAATATAAGAATTACTACACATAATGTCAGAAAACTGATACTAAAGATACTTGGATATCATTGGATGCTAAACAGGCCTTCGATAGAACTGAACGGCCTGTTCCATCTAATGTGGTTCCCAGATTGGGTTTTGGTTTGTGTTTCTCAAGAGGATCAGAATCTTATACACAGAGCCGATTGGCAGGCATAACAAATGGAATGACTTCTAAACCAATAACAGCGACCTGCCCAACAAGGGTGCCCTCCTCCACCAGTGCTGTTGGCCCTCGGCCTGGAGCACTGAGAGTACACCGAGCTTTGACTGGGATCCAATGAATGACAAGTGCATCTTATATATCTCTACCCCGATGATGTTCTCCTCTTCTTATCAAATCTGGCAGTATCTAAATACATCAAAATGGCGCCGGTGAGGTCGGCTGCCGTGCTGGATGCTCTGCCCTAACTTCTCCACTTTTTGCAGTTTTTCGTCACTTTTTGCTATATCTGCGATAATCTTGCATGGGCATCATGCAAAACACACAAATCCGCTACAGTAGAGACATTCTGGTTTCTATTGGTCTGCAATACGCGAACATTTCACCATGTTTAACTCCGGACCCAACCTGGCCAAAGGAGATCCTGAGAGAGAACAAAGGACGCGGCCCTAAGCGACGGCCTCGAGGTAAAAGAGCCGGCATCAGGAACAGGCTACGGGCTCGCGCACACCGCGCACCCATGCCCAGTATCCTGCTAGCCAATATTCAATCCATCGAGAACAAGCTTGATGACCTCAAAGCCAGAATCAAGTTCCTGGGAGACATTCGGGACTGCAGCCTCCTCTGCTTCACTGAGACTTGGCTGAACCCAGCGATACCAGACCACGCCGTGCAGCCGACGGGGTTCTTTTCGGTTTACCGCATGGACAGGACAATGGAGTCGGGGAAGAAAAGAGGTGGTGGAGTGTGTTTGATGGTGAACAACAGATGGTGCGACAGCACAAACATCTCCCCACTCACACGCTCTTGCTCGCCCAATCTGGAGCTTTTGATCGTTAAGTGTCGCCCTTTCTATCTCCCTCGGGAATTCACTGCGGTCATTGCCTGCACTGTTTACATTCCGCCTCACGCGGACTCGGACACTGCCTTATGTGAGCTACATGAGGCTCTCACACATCAACAAACACTTCACCAAGATGCCGCACTCATTGTTATGGGAGATTTTAACAGAGTGAATCTCAAACGGACATTTCACAACCTTCACCAGCACATCAACTGCCCCACCCGGGGCACGAGGACATTAGACCACTGCTACACCCCGTTCAAGAACTGTTACAAGGCTCAGCCCCTGCCGGCATTTGGAAATAGGACCATTCTGCCATCTTCCTCATGCCTGCTTACAAACAAAGGCTAAAGCAGCAACCACCAATCAGGAGGGAGGTCGCTCGCTGGACGGACCAATCGGTGGCCGCGCTGCAGGACGCACTGGATGACGCAGACTGGGACATGTTTCGGCGCGGCTCTGATGACATCAACATGTTTACGGAAGCGGTTGTGGGATTTATCGGGAAACTAGCGGACGACACAGCAGAAAGAACTATCATCCGAACGTTTCCCAACCAGAAGCCGTGGGTGGATAAAAACATCCGCGACGCTCTGAGATCACGCACCGCTGCCTACAATGAAGGGCTTGTCTCCGGTAATATGGACCTATACAAGGCTGCGTCCTACAACGTGCGCAGCGCGGTCCGAAAGGCAAAGCAGAGCTACGGGGAAAAACTAGAGTCACAGCTATGACAGTGCGACTCTAGGAGCCTGTGGAAAGGACTGCGGACTATAACGGACTATAAACGACCAGCTTCTTCAATGATGAATGCCGATGCTTCACTGGCTGATGAGCTGAACACGTTTTATGCTCGCTTCGACGCCGCAGCAATTAAAACAACAAACGGCTGCGCGCGCTCGGAGTGCACCAGTGAAGAAAATGCATTCGTCATCACGGAGCATGCCGTGAGGAACACCTTCAGGAGGGTGAACACCAGGAAGGCAGCAGGACCAGATGCAATCCCTGGCCGGGTCCTTAGAGCCTGCGCTGATCAACTAGCACCGGTGTTCACGGAGATCTTCAACCTCTCCCTGGCCCAAGCTGTGGTTCCCACGTGCTTCAAACGGTCCATTATTTTCCTTGTTCCAAAGAAACAACAGCCCGCTTGCCACAATGACTACCGTCCAGTAGCACTGACTTCAATTGTGATGAAGTGTTTTGAAAGACTGATGAGAGATCACATCACTTCTTCACTTCCTCCCACCATCGACTCACTTCAGTTTGCTTACCGGACTAATCGTTCCACAGACGATGCCATATCTCACCTGCTCCACACATCCCTGAGTCACCTGGACACTGGCAGAGGGAATTATGTTAGGATGCTGTTCGTGGACTACAGTTCAGCATTCAACACAATAATTCCCTCTAAGCTTTTCACCAAGTTGACGGATCTAGGACTCAGCTCATCACTGTGTCAGTGGATCCTCAACTTCCTCACAGACAGACCCCAATCAGTGAAGGTAGGAAAACAAGTCTCCCCCTCCATCTCACTCAGCACTGGAGTGCCTCAGGGCTGTGTTTTAAGCCCCCTGCTGTACTCACTGTACACTTATGACTGTGTAGCCACATCCGACACCACCTCCATTGTCAAGTTTGCTGACGACACTGCTGTTGTGGGCCTGATCTCCGACAACATCGAGACGGCCTACCTGGAGGAGATTAGGAACCTGGAGACCTGGTGCCAGGAGAATAACCTCCTCCTAAACGTCAGCAAGACTAAGGAGCTGATCGTGGACTTCACTACAAAGCAGGCGAGGAATTACAAACCCCTCATCATCAGTGGCACGCCAGTGGAGAGAGTGGACAGTTTCCGATACCTGGGTGTCCACATCACTCAGGACCTGTCATGGTCCTGTCACATCAACACCCTGGTTAAGAAAGCCCGTCAGCGTCTCTTCTTCCTCAGAAGACTTAGAGACTTCCATCTGCCACTGAAGGTGCTCAAGAACTTCTACTCCTGCACCATCGAGGGCGTCCTGACGTCAAACATCTGCACCTGGTTTGGGAACAGCACCAAGCAGGACAGACGAGATCTGCAAAGGGTGGTGCGCTCGGCAGAACGCATCATTCAATCAGAGCTCCCTGACCTGCTGTCCATCTACACCAAGCGGTGCAAGTCCAAAGCTAGGAAGATTATGATGGACCTCTCCCATCCCAACAATGGACTCTTCTCACTGTTGAGGTCTGGGAAGCGCTTCCACTCCCTTAAGGCCAAAACAGAGAGAATGAGGAGGAGCTTCTTCCCCCAGGCTATTCGGGCCCTGAACCAGGTGTAGGACTGGACTCTCACACACGTCACCACACATTTCCTATAATCCTATAATTCCTATAATTTATAATCCTTATCTTTATAATCTCTTCTGCTATTTGCACATTCTTTACTGTAAATTCCTAAGTTAATTTGTAAATTTTTGTAGTAAATTGTAAATATTGTAAAACTTTTCTTTCGTCATTTAATGGTCGGGCATTGTACAGCTACAAGCATTTCACCCCCATGTCATACTGTGTATGGTTGTGTGTGTGTGACAAATAAAATTTGAATTTGAATTTGAATTTGATTTGAAATTTGATCTTCAACCTCATAAAACAAAGTGATGCATTTGGACAGTTTTCGGAATAAATTATACAAAATCATGAGTGGTTAGCACTGTTGCCTCACAGCAAGAAGGTCCTGAGTTCAATTCCAGCATCAGGTCTTTCTGTGTGGAGTTTGCATGTTCTCCCTGCTGTGTGGCTGCTCTCCGGGTACTCCAGCTTCCTCCCACAGTCCAAAGACATGCAGTTAGTGGGGCTAGGTTATTGGTTACTCTGAAGTGCCCATAGGTGTGAGTGTAAGTGTGAATGTTGTCTGTGTCTTGGTGTTACGGTGTGAACACACCGTTAGCCCTGCAGCAGACTGGCGACCTGTCCAGGGCGTACCCCGCCTCTCACCCTGAAACAGCTGGGATAGACTCCCCACGACCCTGGAAAAGGATAAGTGGAAGAGAACGGACGGATCAATGTTATATTTACATCAAGAGGAAAGAGATTCTCAAATAACAAAATCACTGTTTAAAAATGCAAAAGGAGGATTCATGTTTTGATTCATGTTCATGATTTTTTAAGAATTAAACCCGATATAAAAACAACCATTTGAACATTTTAAGGATTCACCAAACCGTGTTTTCTCACCAGTCTATCCTGATGCAATAATGCATCCTTTTCAGCAGGAAGAGCTTTAGGAGCCTTTAAACTATGGGCGAGTAAAGGCTTCAGAACATAGCAGCTCTTCATTCAAACAGCGCCCGTATGATCGGCTGTGTCTAAACTTTGATATCTCTAAGAAGCTCTTTTTTCAAATCCCTGCAGTTGAGACAGTTTATTTAAACCAAACATCAGTCGTTCACATCTGAACCACAGCTCCTACACCGTGAAGACCAAAGGATAAAGAAAGACACATTTCAGTGTTTATAATGTAACTGCTGCCTTTGACCAAGAGTCTGTCAGTAACAGGTTACAGGCAATGAAAACTGATATTAAGATGTTTAAACGCCCGGGAACAATCCGTTCACACAAGACTGAGATGATTACAGGAGTCAATGACAATGAGACCTTACCCCTGAAAACTGAATTGGTGGTCTCCTGATATTCCTGATGTTTGTTTGAAGTATTTGGGTACTTTGTGTCAGTGTGTGTGAGACTGTCCGGAGCTCCACAAATCCTGACAGATGCTAGTGCAGACGTTGTTGGGTCTTTGGTTCCAGCTCCTGTGAACCTCGAGTTGAGTTCTTCTGATATATTTGAGTTTTGTGGTTTTCCTTCATTATGATTCATGCTTTGCCTCCGTGTCGTGCCCACGTGTCTCAGGTCGGCATCTCTGTGTTTCCTGTTTTATTTTGACAGTCTTTGTTGAGCTTCCCTCTGTCTCCTCACTCTTAATTTGTCCCAGCTGTTTCCCCATGTGGTTCCACTTCCCGATCACCTCCTGTCTGTGTATATTGTGCGAGTTTCCCCCTGACCTTTGCTGCACTGCGAGATTTCTTATGTCAACATTTCCAAGGTTTTCCTAGTGATCCGGGTTTTGTGTTTATGTATAAGTTCTTCCCAGTGTCGGTGTTTCTCAGTTTGTAAGTGTGCCTTAATAAACGGCACGCCCTCAGTTTCTCTCAGTCTGTGTCCTGTGGTCGGCGTTTGGTTCCTCACACAAAACACATGATCTGTCTCCGGGTATCGTGACAGTTGGAGTACAGGTGGTGCAAACACTGTCTGCTGGGCATCTACCCAGAGAGCCCTGCTTCATCAATATGTATTGATTTTTGGACTTTTAGGGGCTGGAAGAATCAATCATTGGAGACAAAAGGAAAAGTGGTCACATGTTATGTTGGACAAACTGACCTGGACTGTCAGAGGAAAGGCAGAGGGTTTGAAAAAGTATGGAGACTGTGATTGGACAGCAGTGCAGAATTCAATTGTTGGTCTGTATCTGAATGTGTTTGCTCAGGGCGACTGTTTAAAACGCTGGAAATGTCGATAAAAACATTGAAGTATAAAAACCGGAAAACTGCACCAAAAAACGGTTGCGCTCAGCTTTTTGGTATCGTGCACTGCCAGCTGTGGTTCATTATACCAAACTAAGGGAATGTTTCTCTCTACCTTGCAGAACACTTACACCAATGCAGACAAGCTGCTGGAGGCAGCCGAGCAGCTTGCGCAGACAGGAGAGTGTGACCCGGAGGAAATCTACAAGGCAGCTAGACACCTGGAAGTGCGAATCCAGGACTTTGTCCGCCGGGTGGAACACAGGAAGCTGCTGCTTGACATGTCTGTCTCCTTCCACACACACACTAAGGAGGTGGGGACAGTTTTGCTATTTATTCCATGTAGAGACAGGTGATAGATGTGTGTTGAAGCATCAGCCTGAAGTTATTCACTCTCTTTGCATTGACGATCATTTCTGTCTGCGTGTCTGCATCCAGCTATGGTCGTGGATGGAGGAGCTGCAGAAGCAGCTGCTGGACGATGTGTGCTGCGATTCTGTGGACTCAGTTCAGACTCTGATCCAGCAGTTCCAGCAGCAGCAAACAGCCACACTGGAGGCAACGCTCAATGTGATTAAAGAGGGAGAGGAACTAATGCAGCAGCTGAGGTAACAGTCATACTCTTCTTATTGTGGCAGTATTAGAGCGAAAGAGAGAAGCTGACACCAACTAACAACTGAAGTAGTGAAATGAGGATTTCTAAAGTTAATAGAGCATCTCAGATTGTAGCATCAATACTGCAAATGTCATAAAAACACACAGACACATAAATACTACACAAAATGTTCAATCAAAGCACAATAACAGAAACAGTGATAGCAGCAGAAACAGGAGGGGTGGAGCAGTGAGTTCAGGGGTGGTGTCAGGACCCGCACAGCTGATCTCCATCCATCCTGTCGGACACCGGGACAGGACAACAGACAAGTGTTGGACTAACTGGAGCATCCAGCTGGAAAGCTGTAAAAGTGAACTGGTTGGAAGAAACCAGTAAAAGAAAAAACGATCATTTTGAGAAAAAAGCTGAAATGATCTTTGGGGGAAAGTCCAGAGTTTACAGTTGATTTATAAAATGCCTCTTTACTGCAGGAGGGTGGAACTGCTGTGCCTTTGCATCTGTCCAGTACCAGCCGTTCATGTCCCGTCTTCATACTGATCAGCACTCTGTGTTTATGTGCTAATGAAACATCATTTCCTTCCTGTGAAATGCACTATACACAGGTACACACACACACAGGTCTTTATCACCAGCTTCCACATTTATTCATAGTTTTCCCAGGTTATGATATGAACACAGTCTGACAGCTGTCGGTCCCAGCTGATTTCCCTCTCCCTCCGCTCCTCCGGCCATCCGGCCGACCCTACACCCCCCCCCCCCCCCCTTGGGGCGCGGGCAGGATGCGATAGCCGCCGTCTTCTCCACCTGTGGACGCACCTGCCGGCCCCCCAAGTGGTACCCCAGATACTGTACCTCCCTCCGTCCAACCGCACACTTCTTCGGGTTGGCCATGAGCCCCGCCCTCCTCAGGGACTCCAGGACCGCGGCACATGCTCCGCCCAGGTGTCGCTGTGGATGATCACGTCATCCAGGTAGGCAGCAGCATATGCAACGTGCGGACGCAGCACCCGGTCCATGAGGCACTGAAAGGTGGCAGGGGCTCCGAACAAGCCGAACGGAAGCGTAACGAATTGGTACAACCCGTACGGAGTGGAGAAGGCCGTTTTCTCCCTGGACTCGGCAGACAAGGGAATCTGCCAGTAGCCCTTGGTTAAATCCAGTGTCGTGAGAAAACGGGCCATGCCCAACCGATCCAGGAGCTCGTCGACCCGGGGCATGGGATAAGCATCAAAACGTGACACTTCATTCACCTTGCGATAGTCGACACAGAACCGTATAGACCCATCCTTCTTTACCACCAGAACGATGGGGCTACACCAGGCGCTGTGCGACTCTTCTATCACTCCCATTTTCAGCATTTCAGCCAATTCCCTCTGAACGATTTGCCGTTTATGCTCAGGAAGCCTGTAGGGCCGTGAACGCACCGTCACGCCAGGCTGCGTTACAAAATTATGCTCAATGACAGACGTTCGGCCGGGCAGGGGGGGGAACACATCTGCAAAACGCTGTTGCAACGCGACAACATCCGCTCTCTGGGCCTGTGTGAGATGGTCATCACAAGGGAGGGAGGCAGGAATGATGGAATTTGGCACCTCCAGCCCCAACTCATCTCTCTCCTTAACCAGGCTCACCAGAGAAGCGGTTTCAACCTCTCTCCACTCTTTAAGGAGATTGAGGTGATAAATCTGCGTGGCCCCTCCCCTGTCCGACCGAGTGACCTCATAGTCAACGTCCCCAACTCGCCGTGTGACCACAAAGGGTCCTTGCCACTTGGCGAGCAACTTCGAGCTGGAAGAAGGGAGTAATACAAGCACTTTGTCTCCCGGTGAAAATTGCCTGAGTCTAGCCCCTCTGTCGTACAGGCGCTGCTGACGCTGTTGAGCCTGGAGCAAATTCTCCCGTGACAACCTCCCCAAAGTGTGGAGTTTTGCTCTCAGGTCCAACACGTACTGTATCTCATTTTTGGCGGGGCTCGGACCGTCCTCCCAGCTTTCTTTAATCAGGTCGAGCACCCCACGTGGCCTCCTGCCGAACAGCAGTTCAAAGGGAGAAAATCCCGTGGAGGCCTGGGGCACCTCCCGCACTGCAAATAACAGAGGGTCTAGCCAGCGATCCCAATTGCGTTCATCCTCGTTAATGAACTTACGAATCATGGACTTTAAAGTCTTATTCAGCCGCTCCACCAGCCCATCCGTCTGAGGGTGGTAGACGCTGGTCCGAATAGATTTAATGCCCAGTAATTCGTACAGTTCCTGCAGTGTACGAGACATGAACGACGTGCCCTGGTCAGTCAGTATCTCTTTCGGGATTCCGACTCGGGAGATGACCTGAAACAGTGCCTGGGCCACACTCTTAGCCGAGATGGTGCGCAGCGGAACTGCTTCCGGGTACCGCGTTGCATAATCCACCAGGACTAATACAAAGCGGTAGCCGCGTGCACTCCGATGAAACGGCCCGATGAGGTCCATGCCAATGCGCTCAAACGGGACCTCTATGAGTGGGAGCGGGCGCAAAGGCGCTCTTAGTATGGCCGGTTGATTAACAAGTTGGCAGTCCGGGCAGGACGCGCACCAACGGCGCACATCCGCTCGGATGCCCGGCCAATAAAATCGGGCTGTTATTCGCTCCAGAGTTTTTTCGTATCCCATATGCCCTGCCATGGGGTCATAATGAGCCACCTGGAAAATCGTTTCCCGGCGGCCCTGCGGCACCAACAACTGGGTGTGAGTCTCCTCCGTGCGAGTGTCACGACTCACTCGATATAGCCTATCTTTTGATAAAATGAAGCGCGGGTAGGTCCGCACGGCTTCAGGGCGCACCACGTGACCATCAATCTCAATCACCTGGTCAAAGGCTGAGCGTAGGGTGCCATCACGAGACTGCTCCAGTGGGAAATCACCCGTGGGGGAAACCTCCGGAGTCTCCCCCTCCCCGGAGTCAGTGTCGGATCACCCCGCGTCACCGCTGAGCGCCGCGCAGACACTACATGCTACTAACGGTTGTGATTGCATCCCCGCATACTGTCCCAACAGATGAAGAAACCCCGGCCAATTTGTGCCCAGAATTAGGGGATGGAACAGGCGCGGGCTAACCGCAGCCGTTACTCTATGCGTTTTGCCCTTATACTTTAATAACAGCGGCACTATGGGATACCTGTGAACATCACCATGAACACACTTCACCTCCACCCATTCTGCCTCCAGCAATGCCCCGGGGCGAACCAAGCCTTGGTGCACGAGGGTCTGCGTGCAGCCCGTGTCCACCAAAGCATGGTGTATACCCCCTCGAGTCCTTACCGGAAGGCTGTACGTCCCTCCTGGACCGGGAGAGGGTGCTGGGACACCGGCAACGCGGAACACCTGCCCCACTTCCATCAGAGGACAGTCCCTCCTCAGGTGTCCCAGTTGCCCGCACTTCCAGCACTCCTGCCCCGGTGTCTGTGCTGCTCTCCGTGGCTCATGTCTGATCCCTGGGAAGGCACAAACGCAGCAAAAGGATTAGTGGGGCTCAGCGCCAGCGCCCGCTCTGCCTGCCCCGGCGCAAGTACCCGGCGCCTTGGTGCCGGCACTGGGGCTTGTTTGCTCGGCCTCCGGCCGCTGTCCCCGGGCTCCCCTGCTTTAGCGGCAAGGTGGTCCTCCGCCAACGTTACCGCCACCTCCAGACTCGCGGGACGGTGGCACCTGACCCATCTCGCCGTCTCCGCAGGCAGCCCCTCCACGAACTGCTCCAGCACCACCTTGTCCACCAGCAGCGTCTCGCCCTCTGACGATCCCGGCTGCAGCCAGCGCACCGCCGCGTCATGCAGCTGCCGGGCCCAAGCAAACGGCCAATCCGCCGCGGCTAGCCGACAGGCCCGGAACCGCCGGCGATGATCCTCAGCGGTGAGCCCCAACCTGTCCACCACCGCCCGGCTCACGTCCTGGAAGCTGCTCCTCGAGGTCGGCGGCAGACTCAGGGCCGCCGTCTGAGCCTCCCCCGACAGCAGAGGAAGCAAACGCGGAGCCCACTCCCCCTGCGGCCACTGGCAGGCCTCCGCCGTGGCACGAAAAGTCTCCAGGAAAACCTGGGGGTCGTCCCCCATCCGGGGCATCGCCACCAACAGCGGCGGAGGCTTCGGCGGGGCAGCGGCTCCGACCAGCTGCTCCAGAACCAGAGTCTGCCGGTCCGCCTACTCCTGCAGCGCAGCCAGGTGAGCCCGCTGGGCCGCCGCTTGGTCTTGGCACATCTTCACCAGAAACTGCAAAGGCTGGGCGGGCGGCGCAGCCTGTGGGTCGGCGCAGCCTGTGGGTCGGACATCCCCGGGTTTCGGCACCACTTGTGAAATGCACTACACACAGGTACACACACACACAGGTCTTTATCACCAGCTTCCACATTTATTCATAGTTTTCCCAGGTTATGATATGAACACAGTCTGACAGCTGTCGGTCCCAGCTGATTTCCCTCTCCCTCCGCTCCTCCGGCCGTCTCACTATAAAAAGGGAAGGAAACCATTATCAGTCCAAATCGCCATCAGCTGTTCTCACCGGCATCTCCAGCACCGCCCCGTTGAGCCCACTGCACCACTCCTCCCCTGCAGCCGCGCCCGGGACCACACCTCCGCCACACTTCCTTACTCAAACCAACTGTGAAGCATGATTTCAGTAACTCAGACAGGGAACAGCAGCCGCTTGTCTTGAAGCAACAGTGTCTTTACAGCTTTATTCTCCAAATGATCAATAATATTTTAATTAATACTCAGCCTATTTTATTTTTACTTGTATTTTTTTCTGTTCTGGCACTGGATATGAAATAACACGACACCACCACAAGGTTATAAACTCATAGTGGCGGTGCTTCGGTTACTCTGTAGGGTCTGCAAAGAGCTGCAGAAGCCTGGGAATGCGCTCACAAAGATAACAGACATGGCCGTGTGTGTGTGTGTGTGTGTGTGTGTGTGTGTGTGTGTGTGTGTGTGTGTGTGTGTGTGTGTGTGTGTGTGCTCTTCATCTACACACAGAGTGGAGCAGGCAGCATTCATGCTACTCTAAACACAGAGAAATATGACCTCTGTACTGGTGTTCTCAGGAGCACACGCATCCTCGAGTTTGGAGACGAGTTGGACCATTTTGAATCGTCTCCTCCTGTATCCTGTGTTTTTGCAGGGATGCAGCCATGTCCACCAATAAGACGCCACACTGCAGTTCCATTGCGCACATACAGGGTGTGCTGCAGCAGCTGGATGAAGCCCAGGGCCAGATGGAGGAGCTGTTCCATGAACGCAAAATCAAGCTGGACATCTTTCTGCAGCTTCGCATCTTTGAGCAGTACACGATAGAGGTCAGGCAAGAGGAATGTTGGCTCAGTGCGTACAGTTAACTAGACGTGATGTGTTAACGCCAATCAATGCGCTTTCTTTCACCGAGCAGAATAGAAAAACATATTTTGCTAATTTTGAGGTTTTGTCAGCAAGTCTGTCAGGACCAAGTGCTCAGATCAGCTGCTGGACCAGGTCTGGCTCTCGCTGTGTTCTGTTGTTCACTTGAATCTTTATGATTGCTCGCTTTTCCCGTTCTGGCAGGTCACGGCAGAACTAGACGCTTGGAACGAGGATCTGTCTCGTCAGCTGAATGACACCAGCCGCTCGGGCGCTAGCAGCGGCAGCAGAAGCGGGGGAGGCGGTGCCTCGTCCGCCGGCTCAGAGGATATCGGTCTGGCAGAACAGCGGCTGAAGCGGCACGCAGAGAGGAAAGCAGCCATGAACAACATGACCTATGAGGTGATGCAGCAGGGTCAAGATCTGCACCAGTACATCATGGAGGTCCAGGCTTCAGGTAAGGGACGCACACATGATTCCTCTATGAGCGCGCAGGAGTGAACCATGAGGTCTGAACTTGAATCTGACAGAGCCTTTCTGTGGCAGGTCCAGACTTTTTTATCCACTGCCTTTAGCGCACACTGAGCCACACACTTTTGTGCTCACAGCCTTAGTCCTTGTTGTTTTAGTCGTATTAATCTTTCTCTGTTATATTTGGATTCCATCATTGTTGTGCATTTGACTTTGGGAAAGCACTTTGTGCAGCATAACTAAACTTGACCTTGACACTAACAGAGTGCTACTCTGGTCCCAGGTGGGATCAGTCTCTCTGAATCGCCACACAAACTGAACGCTCTGTTTGAAGCCCAAAATCACTTTCAGTGAAAGTAAAAAGTTAAATGGGAATATAGCATCCTTAAGATGCAACATGGTGAATCTTTTCTGTTTGCAGCTATTCAGCAATTCATACTTTGTCACGTGGGCGATCGTGGCTCAGGAGTTGGCAGTTCGTCCTGTAATCGGAAGGTTGCCTGTTCGAGCCCCGGCTCCGACAGTCTCGGTCGTTGTGTCCTTGGGCACGATACTTCACCCGTTGCCTACTGGTGGTGGTCAGAGGGCCCGGTGGCGCCAGTGTCCGGCAGCCTCGCCTCTGTCAGTGCGCCCCAGGGTGGCTGTGGCTACAATGTAGCTGCCATCACCAGTGTGTGAATGTGTGGATGTGTAAAGTGCTTTAGGGACTAGTAAAGCACTATACAAACACAGGCCATTTACCATTATTTCTTATTTTTACCAAATGCATACAAATTACAAATGAATTGCCCTCTGGGGATAAATACAGTCTCTCTGATCCTGAAAACAGGGCTTGGCTTGTTTATCCTTTCTTAGATAGCAGCATTTCTCTGGTTTCTGAGGTTCTCCAAAACTTCCTTTACACTAATTTGTTGACATGACAGAAGCAGAACGTGTGTGTTTGTCACAGGAATCGAGCTGACGGGAGAGAAGGACTTGGACTTGGCCTCTCAGGTTCAGGAGCTGCTGGAGTTCCTGCATGAGAAGCAGCAGGAGGTGGAGGTCAACGTGCAGCACACGCACACGCGGCTGGAGCAGACTCTTCAGCTGCGCCACCTGCAGGGAGAAGTTAAACAGGTGAAGGCATGGCACTCACAGGGACGACTCCATCTTTAACCTACTTTGCTATGCAGCTTCAGTTTGTTGTCCCAGATCTAGAAAACATCGAGACTCAGAGAAAGCTGGATCCTAGTCCAACTAGAGCAACGTTGTTATCAACTGTTCTCGTTTTGAACAGGCTGCTCGATGTTGGAGAAGTGACAGGAACAACAGCCAGGCTGTGTGTGTAGACAGGAAACACACTGCTACTGCTGCAAATGGATACAGCTGAATCATTTATTAAGCTCATGCCAACGTGCTAATAACACGCAGGCACACACCCTCACTGCTATCCTGTCTGAGATCACTCGTCAGTAAAGTTCACAACCTTGAATAGATGAGGCACCTCGTCTGCCATGGCTAACGTCATCTTCCACAGGACCACTCTCACTCCAAACACACATAACACTCACAGGTTGTCATGTTTTGAGGCAACCTTGCGCGTCCCTGTGATTGGATTGAACCAACAGAATGGGGTTGGAGGCTGGCGCGCCTGAGCGAAATCACTCCCCCCTGCACGTAAATGATTGTTGTTGATGTGGATGTCGAGCTGTGAGCGGAGAGCTGCAGCCGGCGAGGGAAGATGTCACTGAGCGGTGAATCGGGGTCGGGCCGTGCCTCCTACCTGCCACAGTCACATGATGTCATGTGTTAGGTTTTGGGATGTGAACGCGTTGATTTCACCGTGTTACAAAGAAATGTAACCCGAGGAGCACATGCATGTCACAGGTGCATCAACACTAGTTGTTGTAAACTCTCAGAAGCTGTGTGTGTCGTGTAGTTGAAGCTCTGACTAACATAATGCGTGTAGTGCAAGTGTGTCCATTAAGACATCAGTCAAAGCCAAAAACAGTCTATTTATTTGTACTTGCACAAAATAACCTTTGACCTTTCACTGCTGTAAGTTTCCTTTTGTTAAGAATGACGCATGTCACACAAAAGGTCCGAGGTGTAGTCCTACTGATATTCTGATTACACATTATTAAAGATTTTTCAGTAAGTGTGTCAATAAAAACATTACTCATGATAAACGCTCCCAGATGTTTGCGCGTGTTAGTCGTGCAGGACTGAAGCTGGAGTTTCCCGAGCTTCACTCGTGTAGCTCCACAGCGTCTGCAGACACACGCACACGTATTACATGTTATTAGTACAGATATGGTTTTAGTGAGGGAGGCTTTCCCGCCACAGCGTGTATACACCTGCATGTTTATATAAGTCGTATGTTGTCATGGTGTCTGACTCGTTGTCTAGGTGTTGGGTTGGATACGTAACGGAGAGTCCATGCTGAACGCCAGCATGGTCAACGCCAGCTCGCTGTCTGAGGCCGAGCAGCTTCAGAGGGAGCATGAGCAGTTCCAGATGGCTATAGAGGTACACACACACACACACACACACACACACACACACGGCCTAATTATTTACTGTACAGGAGTAATAATTTTTCAGTGTGTGCTGGTTTGAATCGTAGCAGATGTGCACGCAGTGACACAGAGGTGCTCTTTGTGATGTGTGTGTGTGAACCAGGCTTACCTCAGTCGTTTACATTCTGCTCTGAGTTTGAACAGTTACAGCTGCTTCACACACACTTACACACACACACACACACTTACTTACACACACACACACACACTTACACACACACAGTAAATCCTTTAAGTGCTGTCACTGTGGTGTTACTTTAAATAGCTGACCACAGAAGTCTGAAGGTGTGTGTGTGTGTGTGTGTGTGTGTGTGTGTGTGTGTGTGTGTGTGTGTGTGTGTGTGTGTGTGTGTGTGTGTGTGTGTGTGCGTGTGTGTGTGTGTCTTGATGATATGACTCCTGCATCTTCCTGCTGATGTGCTGCTGTGTACCCAGGCTCACGCACTCGTGCACAACAATATGATCAACAATATAAAATAAACTTTTGCCTCCTTACTGCTGTATTTAACTTAAATAAAACAGTGAATGAAATGTTAGGATCATTTTAATACAGCTTAATCATCAGAATTGTAATCAAAGCTGTAAATGATCTTTTCTGGCACAGAGTCGAACTTTAAAGATTCTTTTTGCCTGGAAGAGATTTTAAAAGTTTTAGAGGCCCTTTAACCTTTAAGCCTTGTGTTTGTGTAGACCTCCACAAAGGCATGTTAGGAATGGTATATTGAACTGAGTGAAAGTGGAGATAATAACCAAATCTCCTCTCTTCCAGTCTCTGTTCCACGCTAACTCTCTTCAGAAGACACATCAGAGTGCTCTGCAGGTCCAACAAAAAGCTGAGGTGAATCTTCTTTAATGCCTAACTAACTGTTTCCCTTCATTTCTCCGTCGTCAGTAGTTGACAGCTCTGACCTCTTTTGCTGCTTTTGTCAGATGATGCTACAGGCGAGTCATTATGATCCAGAGGCAATTCGAAGCTGTGCTGAGAAGGTTGCCGTGCACTGGCAGCAACTGATGCTGAAGATGGAGGACCGTCTGAAGCTGGTCAATGCATCCGTAGCCTTCTACAAGACATCTGAACAGGTGCACTTCAAGCAAACTCCACCGTCGCTGTTTTTGTTTTCTTACATCAGCAACAGGAAGGTAACTGTTTGTGCGTCTGTGCAGGTGTGCAGTGTGTTAGAGAGCCTGGAGCAGGAGTACCGCCGCGATGAAGACTGGTGCGGCACACACGACAAAGTGGGAAGTTCATCCGACAGCGACCACCTCCTGCCTCTGATCAGTAAGCACCTGGAGCAGAAAGAAGCCTTCCTCAAGGTGATTTCATGTCTCACTGTCTAAAAGAACAAAGCAGGCTGCTGGGCTTGTTTTGTTTGATAAATAACGTATGCAGATGATGCCATCATGTTCTACACAACTAATAACATGTATATACAGTGGGGCAAAAAAGTATTTAGTCAGCCACCGATTGTGCAAGTTCCCCCACCTAAAATGATGACAGAGGTCAGTAATTTGCACCAGAGGTACACTTCAACTGTGAGAGACAGAATGTGAAAAAAAAATCCATGAATCCACATGGTAGGATTTGTAAAGAATTTATTGGTAAATCAGGGTGGAAAATAAGTATTTGGTCAATAACAAAAATACAACTCAATACTTTGTAACATAACCTTTGTTGGCAATAACAGAGGTCAAACGTTTACTATAGGTCTTTACCAGGTTTGCACACACAGTAGCTGGTATTTTGGCCCATTCCTCCATGCAGATCTTCTCGAGAGCAGTGATGTTTTGGGGCTGTCGCCGAGCAACACGGACTTTCAACTCCCGCCACAGATTTTCTATGGGGTTGAGGTCTGGAGACTGGCTAGGCCACTCCAGGACTTTCAAATGCTTCTTACGGAGCCACTCCTTTGTTGCCCGGGCGGTGTGTTTTGGATCATTGTCATGTTGGAAGACCCAGCCTCGTTTCATCTTCAAAGTTCTCACTGATGGAAGGAGGTTTTGGCTCAAAATCTCACGATACATGGCCCCATTCATTCTGTCCTTAACACGGATCAGTCGTCCTGTCCCCTTGGCAGAAAAACAGCCCCATAGCATGATGTTTCCACCCCCATGCTTCACAGTAGGTATGGTGTTCTTGGGATGCAACTCAGTATTCTTCTTCCTCCAAACACGACGAGTTGAGTTTATACCAAAAAGTTCTACTTTGGTTTCATCTGACCACATGACATTCTCCCAATCCTCTGCTGTATCATCCATGTGCTCTCTGGCAAACTTCAGACGGGCCTGGACATGCACTGGCTTCAGCAGCGGAACACGTCTGGCACTGCGGGATTTGATTCCCTGCCGTTGTAGTGTGTTACTGATGGTGACCTTTGTTACTTTGGTCCCAGCTCTCTGCAGGTCATTCACCAGGTCCCCCCGTGTGGTTCTGGGATCTTTGCTCACCGTTCTCATGATCATTTTGACCCCACGGGATGAGATCTTGTGTGGAGCCCCAGATCGAGGGAGATTATCAGTGGTCTTGTATGTCTTCCATTTTCTGATGATTGCTCCCACAGTTGATTTTTTCACACCAAGCTGCTTGCCTATTGTAGATTCACTCTTCCCAGTCTGGTGCAGGTCTACAATACTTTTCCTGGTGTCCTTCGAAAGCTCTTTGGTCTTGGCCATGGCGGAGTTTGGAGTCTGACTGTTTGAGGCTGTGGACAGGTGTCTTTTATACAGATGATGAGTTCAAACAGGTGCCATTCATACAGGTAACGAGTGGGGGACAGAAAAGCTTCTTACAGAAGACGTTACAGGTCTGTGAGAGCCAGAGATTTTCCTTGTTTGAGGTGACCAAATACTTATTTTCCACCCTGATTTACCAATAAATTCTTTACAAATCCTACCATGTGGATTCATGGATTTTTTTTTCACATTCTGTCTCTCACAGTTGAAGTGTACCTCTGGTGCAAATTACTGACCTCTGTCATCATTTTAAGTGGGGGAACTTGCACAATCGGTGGCTGACTAAATACTTTTTTGCCCCACTGTATAAAAGTTTCCCACTTGCATTGCGGGCATCTTTGTACTTCAAGCTAGTGTCCTCTACCAGAGGCCTGGGAGCTGGAGAGTCCTGCAGGGTCTTTTCCTAGGACTGTGCTCTTCATCGCAGAGTTCTCAGATGTTGTTCCTGCTGCAGCCACTCACCTAGCTTGATGGTCAAGTGCTCTGATTAGCACGGGGACCACTGTTGCCTTCATCCTCCACATCTTCTCCAGCTTCTCATGTTCCTCCTCCTTGCTATAGCTACCACTCGGTATAGCTACACCTATCACAGCGGCTGCTTGTCTACCACTATGTTGGTTAGCCACCACCATTTTGTCCGTCTGTATCTGGAAGTCCCACAAGATCTTAGCTCGGTCATTCTCCACCACCCTGGGGGCATCTCCCATTTTGACCTCGGGACTTCCAGGTTATACTCGGCACAGATGTTCCTGTACACTATGCCGGCCACTTGGTTATGGCGTTCCATGTACACCCTGCCTGCTAGCATCTTGCACCCTGCTGTAATGTGCTGGACAATGTTCCCTGTAATGTTTCATGTGTCTCCCTGAGCGTCCCTTGGACCACTGTGAGCAACAGCAGACGTGTGCACTGTGGTCACGCCAGCATCGAATCATCCAAGTTACATGGTTTATTAAAATAATCAGATTACAGCATTTATGTTAGACTACTTTTAATTAACTGCTTTAGCCCACTTACAATGAAAATTTAAAAAATCTTGTTCATCACCTGTGTAGCATGTTAACACTATTGGAAGTAAAAATAACTTGAACTTCAATTTTGAAAACACAACTTTTTTTTTTATTTTTTAAAAGCTCTGGCTTGTATTATGAGTCTGAGTCTGTGGTCTGGGAGAGGGTCTGTAACTCTGTCTGCAAAATATAATATATAATGACCAATGTTGGGTAATTAATTATATAGTTACTTCTTCAAAAAAGTAACTGAGTTATACAAACAACAAAGTTTTTTGCAGCTGTTTACCTAAAAATGCAGCCAAGGCGTTTTTAAACAAACATTTCAAACTATTTACAGAACAATCAGCTGTTCTGCATCAAATCTGATGCCACACAAATTATTTGTGCCGCTCCAAAAATAATTTCTGTCCACTATGAGATGAAGGAGAACAACAGCCTGATACCTGCAGGCCTGACAGCAGCAGATGTGTCACTGCTGTAACACCTGTAACACTCAGCAGGCGCCTCATTGTTCTGACACACAACAACACTACTGACTACACTACACACTGACTACACACTCACTACACAATGACTACACACTGACTACACACTGACTACACACCAACTACACACTAACTACACACCAACTACACACTAACTACACACCAACTACACACCAACTACACACCAACTACACACCAACTACACACCAACTACACACCAACTACACACCAACTACACACCAACTACACACCAACTACACACCAACTACACACTAACTACACACCAACTACACACTAACTACACACCAACTACACAAGACAACACACTAACTACACACTAACTACACAAGACAACACACTAACTACACACTAACTACACACTAACTACTAACACAAAAAAAAAAAAAAAAAAAAAAAAAAAAAAAAAAAAAAAAAAAAAAAAAAAAACACACACTAACTACACACAACTACACACTAACTACACACCAACTACACACCAACTACACACTAACTACACACCAAATACACACCAACTACACACTAACTACACACTAACTACACAAGACAACACACTAACTTTAGACTCCAAACAGGCTAAACGTGGCAAATCTCTCACATCTCAAACACGCCGTCACTCCTAAAACTTCCCCCTCCCTAAACATCTAAATGCCATGTTGCCATATCATTTTTTGATTGGTCCACATGGTCCATTTTTCCACCAATAGGAAAGGCTGTTTTTTTTTGGTGTTGTTTTAGCTCACAGGCTTTTGAGTGTTTTCCTTATAAAACGCAGTTTCTATATAAAGTATAAACAACGACAGTATTCAGGAAGAAAACCAAACATTGCAGATATTTTATCATAACTCTGGTTTTACGTGGCCGATCAACACGATTTAAAAACTGGTATAAAGTCCACACTTTGTCCGTCAGTTGTTCCGTCTGTCCTGCTCACATCTCCAATGGTTGTGCACGTTGTCATTAACGTGGCTTCACTCCACATCAGCCTCTTTGCTAAAACACCGGTGTCGCACATAAGGACGCTGTCAGAGCCTGTCAGCGATGTTGATTAGCTGCGTATATACGAATGTGAATCACATCATTGGCTGGACTGTGGGATAAGGTGGCATCGTTCTGATCCCATACGGGAGCAGCCAGTCACTGACTCACACTGCAGAACAGAATTGTTAAAGTTTTCATTTCAATTTCAATTCAGGTCAGATTTTTTTTTTGTGCGCTACTCAGATTTTCTGTGCGCAGAGACGTGCCAGCAGTGTGCAGCTTAGAGGGAACATTGGTGCTGGACTGTCTCAGCAGCACCTTTACACCGGGTGTTTCAGACCCAGCCTCTGTGGATCCTGGTGTTTTCTGGTGTTCCTGCCTAGAAAGGGCGCGTCAGGGACATTATCTGGTCTGATCATCTGGATGTCCCTGACAGCTTTGAGCACTTATTAGCAAACACATAGACATTGCACAGACAAGCAGCATGTTTACTGATGTTGGTGTGTTACAGGCGTGCACTCTGGCCCGGAGGAATGCAGAGGTATTTCTGAAGTACATTCACAGGAACAATGTGAGCATGCCTGGAGCTGCCGGTCACACCAGGGGACCTGAGCAACAGGTTAAAGGTCAGTGCTGCTGATGCAGCGTGTGTGTGTCCATGTCCATGATAGGCAAGTTAGGAAGGTTGTGTAGCAGTTAGGGATGAACTCTGTGATTATTGTCCCTGATCTGTGTTGGTGTGCGCAGCTATTCTGAACGAGCTGCTGCAGAGAGAGAACAGAGTCCTTCACTTCTGGACATTAAAGAAACGACGGCTGGACCAGTGTCAGCAGTATCTGGTGTTTGAACGCAGCGCCAAACAGGTGAGTGTGTGAAGTCCAAAGAACGAACGCTCAGCTTTGACACGAGGCTCATCGTAGCTCTGGGTAACGCTTTATAGTAACCTATTTTAATAAGTAGCACATTGATAGTTATTTGCAGTAATGAAACAATAAAATGACAAAGGTTAGTACTGTAAACACTGGGTGATTATTACAACGTTGCACAGAATGAGTAGAGTTTGCAGTGCACCTATAAACACTGTTTGAGTTAAGTTCATGCAACGCTGTTAAAAACACATCGTTTCATATTTCATGACTTTTTCAAATATGTGTTTGTATATTGGGAATTTTGGATGTTTTCAAACTCATACAACCAGTTGTGCTTCGAGCCGTACAGGGTTGTCATTCTAACACTATAGTCCGCGTTGCCTAGCAACACTTATTGTTTGCACACATTTTGGCTGTTTGTTAAGATGTGTTGGGCAATGAGACGGGCTACAGCGGGCAGGTAGCTGGCTGTGCAGAGCAGTGAGGGGCCGTAGCTGCACACAGGGTCCAGAACTGATGTGAGCAAATAAAGCAGGAAGTGTGCAGCAGAGTCAGACCAGCTGCAGACAGTCCAGAGCAGTGCGGACGGGAGAGGATAATAATGCATTTATTTTATTTAAAAGCACCTTTCAAGACATCCAAGGACACTTCACAGTAAAACACATAATAGAACAATGTCAACGAAGAACAATGAAAAACAAAAAGCAGAAGATAAAATAAACGATAAGTTCACAGCGAAAATGCAGATTCGAACAGATGAGCAGAGATTTAAACTGGAACCAGTGTTTCTTATATGTGGGCAGAGACTTCCACAGCCTGCAGCAGAGAGGTGAGCAGGAGCGAGGTTATGAAGGCCTTGAAGGTGAGCAGAAGAAGTTTGTATATTATCCAGATTTTCACAGGGAGCCAGTGAAGTTCCTGCAGGACAGGAGTGATGTGCTGGTAGGAGGGGTTCTGCTGATCATGTCAGCAGCACAGTCTTGAACCTGTTGAAGCTGATGGAGGGGAATTACAACAGTCAATGCGGGAGACTATGGACGAGACTGTGGACAAGAATGGATGCTGTGTGGAAAGAAAAGGACGTAATCTGTTAATGTTACGTAGATGGAAATAGAACAGTGAGATTATTGATGTGACATTTAAAGCATAGTGAACGGTCTGATGACACCAAGGCTCTGAACCCGAGAAGGGAAACTGTGGAGCAACAAGGAGGATTTCAGTTTTATCCTCGTTGAGTTTAAGAAAATTAAATGAATGGCTGAATGTCTGCTGCAGCCTGGTGCTGTGGACGCTGTGTTTTACTGTCCTATCACAACTTGTGTTGTTGTAGCTGAAACTGTGAGTTTCAAAGTGCAATAACATCGAGTCTCTTTCTTATACCTCCTGTATTTCAGCATAACTAATGCATCATTATCCAAATGATGTTCTTCTATACTCACTTATGAGGTAGCCGGTGTATAGTTTGCTGATCTAAATCATCGGTCAAAGCTTTGTTCAAAATTGTGACACGAAGTAACCTGTTTGCTGTTACTGCTGTTGTGGAGGATCGACGCCCTCTGGTGGTTCTAGGAGGTTTTGCATTGGTGTCTATGTTGAGGGTGGCAGTGGTGGAAAGTCCTAGAAAGCACAGTTTGTGTCCTGTTTCTCTCACGTTGTAGTTCTTTAGCTTACCTTGGCTGTCAGGTTTGGGCACCATGGTTAGCTGTAGGAGCAGATCAGGATTTGGGTAAAGTTTGTTTGTTTGTTTGTTTGTTTTCAGCACTACAGTGTGGTGTGAGACTCAATACTGCATCACAAGATAGAAGCTAAAGGAAACCTTGTGCATGTCAAATATTTTGATTTCACAAAAACAACAAAGATAAATTAAAATGTTGCTAATGGTTTATAAAGATCGTTGATGGTTAAGCAGCAGCCTGTTTCATGAACGTTCAGCTTTTTAATACTGGTTAGTATAAAGTGTTACCACTGTTCAAATATTGAGGGTGAGCACAAAAACAACAATTGGTCCTGGAGAGTCGGTCAAACAATGATTTGTAATGAACACACGCGTGGGGAGATGAACACTGCACACCGACAGCATCGATCGCCGCCCAATGATACACAAGCAGTTGTTTTTATACCATCAGGGTTTACTTTTATGACGCCCCCTCATGCGTCAAAGCAGATACAACACATGCATAAGTTTCAAAAGCACAGATGTTCTGTTGACGACTTTCGACACATCTAAAAGGACATCTTCTCCGTCTCGAGGCCAGGTGCTTCCTATTAATCTTCTAACTCTCGCTTATCTCCTGGAGCAAACTGTCCCTTATGCAGACATAATTTTGCAGCTACAAGCTTTTGCAAACTATTATTTGAATATTTGAACTCTTACCTAAACATGAGTCCAACTACTGTTTGCGTGTGTGTCTCGACCTCAAAATGCACTCGGCCTCACCCCGCCCGTTGATGCTTCTGGCCTTTTACCAGACTCTCTGTGATAGGTGTAATAATCATAACTAAGAACATGTGTTCTGAATAAATGCTTTAATGAAATGATCATTAATGTAATGGTAATGATGGTTATGAATAGTAGCTGTAAAATATTTCCCTGATCTCCACACTCCGTCTCTTGACCACGAGGTCAAGAGGTCACCATACGTTGCGCTGTGTCACTCCTCGGCCCACTCAGCGCTTCTATGTCCATTAATGGCATCATGGACATCGGGCCACCGCCCCGGGGTCCACTGCCCTCGTGGTCACCTTTTCCAACAATCCTCTGGCACCAGGAATGAGAGGCACAGTTAACACAAAGGGGCAGGATCAACTCTATGTGTGGTGTTTTTGTGTTGTTGTGTGCAGGCACTGGATTGGATCCAGGAGACAGGTGAGGTTTACCTGGCCACGCACACGTCACCCGGTGACAGCAGCGAGGAAACACAGCAGCTTCTCAATGACTACCATCACTTCAGACTTTGTGCCAAAGTATGTCCTGTGTGTGTGTGTGTGTGTGTGTGTGTGTGTGTGTGTGTGTGTGTGTGTGTGTGTGTGTGTGTGTGTGTGTGTGTGTGTGTGTGTGAACAGACAGATGTTCACCCTACACACTCTGATTTGTATTTGAACTTCACTACCAGTCAAACGTTTGGACACACCTTCTCCTTTAATGGTTTTTCTTTGTTTTTACTACTTTCTGCATCGTAGATACAAACTGAAGACATCAAATATCTGAAGCAGATTTATAGAATTATGTAGCAAAGCTCTGTAAAAAACTCTAAAGTCTCATATTTTAGACTCTACTCTTTCTTTGTTGACAGCGCTGCAAACCTTCTCTCAGGTTTCACCTCACAGGTGAGCCTGTCAGGGTTCATGGTGGGGTTTGTTGCCTTCTTAATGACGTTGGGACCATCAGTTGTGTTGTGCAGCAGTCAGGTTGGTGCACAGCTGACAGGCCTGTTTGACAACTGTTAGAATTCATATTACGGCGAGAACCAATCAGCTGAGTGAAGAGAAACAACAGCCCATCATTACTTTAAGAACTGAAGGTCAGTCAGTCGGAAAACTGCTAAAACTTTGAATGTGTCCCCGAGTGCAGTCGCAAAACCCATCAAGACCACAATGAAACTGTCTGACATGAGGACGCCCCAGGAAAGGAAGACCAGGAGTCCCTCTGCTGCTGAGGATACGTTTATCCCAGTCACCAGCCTCACAAATCACAAGTTAGCAGCAGCTCAGATCAGAGCCCAGATAGATGCCACACAGAGCTCCAGTAGCAGACACATCTCTACATGTTCAGAGGACACTGTGTGAATCAGGCCTTTATGGTCAGACAGCTGCTGAGAGACCACGACTGAGGAAAAGCAACAAGCAGAGATTTGTTTGGGTCAAGAAACACAACGAATGGACTTTAGACCATCTGTGCTTTGGTCTCATGAGTCCAAATTGGAGATGTTTGCTTCCACCTGCCGTGTCTTTGTGCAACACAGAAAAGGTGAACGATGGTCTCTACGTGCATGGTTCCCTCTGTGAAGCATGGAGGAGGAGGTGTGATGGTGTGTGTGTGTGGGGGGGGCTTTGCTGGTGACACTGTTGGAGATTTATTCCAAACTAAAGGCAGACTGAACCAGCACGGCTACCACAGCATCCTGCAGCCACATGTCAGGGCAGCACAATGACCCCAAACACCTCCAGGCTGTGTGAGAGCTGTTTGACCAAGAAGGAGAGTGATGGAGGCCTGCACTGTCACCTGACCTACACCCAGTGGAGATGGTTTGGGATGAGATGGAGCGCAGAGTGAAGGCAAAGGACCAACAAGTGCTCAGCATCTCTGAACTCCTTCAAGACTGTTGGAAACCATTTCAGGCGACGACCTCATGCAGCTCACTTTTTGTTTACTGCATAATTCCATGTGTGTGTTCATTGCCTTCAATGAGAATCTACAATGTAAATAATCATGAAAATAAAGAAAAACCATTAAAGGAGAAGGCGTGCCCAAACTTTTGACTTTACTAGGCTTAAAGTTTTGGTTTGCATCAATTGTTTGGTAATTTTCCACTTTCACACGTGGGAGTCTGACAGCAGAGCGGTGAGGTGGTGCTGGGTCATCAACACCTCACAGCTTTCAAGCAGGTGAGGGATGATTATAATCAACCCTCAACATGTAAAGAGTGCAAAATCAGGAAAGAATCTGAATATAGTGAAAATAGTGATTAATATTAGAGGATGAGTAGACTGTTAACTGCTTCTAATAAAACTAAACACTCTGAGCAGGATTTCCTGGTCAAACATGGGAAAATGTTACAGTTCAACTCAAAATGTGTTTGTAGAGCACACTGAAGAACAACAGAGTCGACCAAAGTGCTTCACCATCAGTTAAAACAAGAGAAAACAATAGAGGAACAAATTCAGAAAAATAAGACGACAGTGAATTAACAAGAAAAACATCAAACAGGCCTGATGGTACTCAGGGTCAGCCAGGGTCAAAAAGTGAGTTTTAAGACGCGATTTAAAAGACTGAACCGAGTCTGACGTACGAGTCTCCTCTGGCAGATTCTTCCAGTCTGGCTGCTGCTGCCCGAGCTCCTCTGTGCTTCCAGACCTGGTTGTGCTAAGAGCATCTCAGTGCTCTTTTGTCACACATGTTGAGGAGTTCATTTAAATAACAGGGCGCCATATTATTAAAAACTTTCAATCTTAAACTCGATATTTTACAGGGAGCCAGTGTAATATACTTACATATCTATATTATTGCTAATATATGTTGTAATATATCTATATCACTAAAGCACTTCTGGATGGATGCAAACTGCATTTCGTTGCCCTGTACCTGTGCGTGTGCAATGACAATAAAGTTGAATTCTATTCTATTCTAAATTTGCTAAAACTGGAGTTACTGATAAATGCAGACACTCCACAGATAGACGTGAACACCTGCAGTGAATCATCTCCAGCGTGACAGAAGAGAAGCAGCTACATCCACTGGTTTCATCTTTGTGCAGAAGGATGTATATGCGGTCATAATGAGCCCACACAGAGTGGGACCTGACAACAGATACGAGATATTCAAAGATGTACTTACAAATGTCCCACAAGGTATTAGTGTGTTTCACAAAGGGCCACGTAGGGATGCTGAACATCAGCGACTCCTCAGCTTCTGTAATTTGTGTGTCTGACAACATCCTGCAGCAAACCAAGGAGAAGGTGAAGCTGCTGATCCAGCTGGCAGACAGTCTGGTGGAGAAGGGGCACGCCCACGTGCTGGAGCTGAAGCGCTGGGTGAGCACGGTGGACCGCAGGTACCGTGACTTCTCTGCACGGATGGGCAAATACCAGGAGAGCCTGGAGAGGAGCCTGGGAATGAGCTCTGAGGTGAAAACAGCAACACACACTTGTGCCAGTGCAGTCCCAGAAACATCTTCTGATTACTGGCAGAAATGATGTTCTCTGTGCAGGACAACAAAGACCTGGAACTGGACACCATCCCTGCCAGCCTGACAGATGACCCGGAGGTCAAACTGCGTGACCCCAACCATGAGGTCAACGAGGAGAAGAGGAAGTCTGCCAGGAAGAAAGAGTGAGTTTGGAAAGAAAGGAGGACCGAGTCATCATCATGTGTCACTACAGTAGTTCACCTCGTTCGATCGCAGCCACTCACATCCACTCCACAGACGAGGTCGCCTCTGCTCCTGTACAGGTCACGGGTGTGAAAACAACACAAAGTTATGATACATACAGATTCGGTGGGGGTATTACTGCAGTGACTTCAGCTGTCTTCTGTTAGAGTGGCTGCTGTCTGTGGAAGCGTCACACGTTAGCTAAACCAAAGTCTGCACACTGACGTGACGTGAATGCATCCTTACAGCTGTGCTGCTTTCACGTGTTTCTGAGGATCAGTCTTTGGTTTGCGTTTTAGTCTCAAGTCTTTTCCTGTCTCAGGTTCATCATGGCAGAGCTCTTGCAGACAGAGAAGACCTACGTCAGAGACCTTCAGGAGTGTTTAGAGGTGAGAACAACGAGCGAGTTTGTTTGTGGACATTAGTACGTTTGTGCTGTGTGGCTGACGGCTCTGTGTGCCCGTCAGACGTACCTGTTGGAGATGACCAACGGTGTAGAGGAGATCCCACCTGGCATTGCTAACAAAGAGCACATCATATTTGGTAACATGCAGGAGATATATGACTTCCACAGCAAGTGAGTGACGTTTAGATTAGGTCTGCAGCTGAATGTGCTGTCTGTGTGTGTGTTCAGTTGAGCTCTGAACCCTGTTAATATACTGTGTGTGTTCATGCATGGGCCACACCCCCCAGCTGTCCACGACAAACTCATTTGTGTCTCATCTCTTTGTGGTCCCTGCACAAACCCACGCATTAGTTCAATGAGCAGCAACGCTTTAAACTCATTCACAGCATCTGGAGGTTTCACATATCACCATTCTGAACAATGTCTGTGTTACTTGAGTGATTTACAGTAAAAATATACAGTCTGTTTGTTTGTGTCTTTGCAGTATTTTCCTAAAGGAGCTGGTAAACTATGAGCAGCTTCCAGAGGACGTGGGTCACTGCTTTGTCACCTGGGTGAGAGTCACAGTGGAAACACTGTTCAGAAAGCTTTCGAGTATCATAAGTAGCTCCTAGTGACGACATTGTAAGTGTTATTTTAGGCTGGGACTACATTCAAAGAGCAGGTTAGCCCCTAAACTTCCTGAAAGCTGTCAGCAGAATATGAAGAAAGGACAGCTGTGACATCAAAGTTGAAAGGAGGCTGTATTCTTGTGTGATACTGCAACAAAACAGAAGATGGCGCTGTGGTCAGCGAGTTAGCGTATCTGTTCTGGTAGGTGACGAGCCCGTAGGACTGCTTCTGTCCACAGCGAGGCTTCGGTCTGTTCACATGAAGCACTGCTAGGATTGGGCACAGTGTGAGCAAATGACTGTGCTCGAGGTCATGCTGGGCAGTTACAGGCACCTCCATCTTCACAGGAAACTGGCACACAGTGAAGAAATGATGGAGCTGTGACTCTGCAGCTCACCAGGAACAGAACAAGCAAGAAAAAGATTTAAAATGCAGCATCCAAAGCACAGAGTGGCTGCAGTGGAGAGGTTTTTATGTTACAGCTCTGCTGCTCGGTGCAGCTGAAGGTCAGCAGCGCCCACACGGCAACACAAAAAATAAAACAGCCATTTAAGAAGCCATTAAAGCAGAGCAAAGACAGGATCTCAGTGAATGCATGAAACACTGTCCTGCAGTCATGCTTCTTATCTGTTTAACCTTCATCGGCAAAGTGTGCACACACAGTATCAGCTGTTTTATTCTATCACGGTTATTTTGGGGCATTTTTATGCGGCTGTTGGATGGTTGAGCAGTGATGAAAGACAGGAAAGTGGGGAGAGAGGGGGAAAGACAAAGGACTGCAGGTGTGAGTCAAACCTGCACTGTGGCCACGTGTCACACTGAGCTGAACTGGCGTCCCAGGTAGCTGTAAGTGTAAGCAGGACGTAAAGCTGCCTCCTCTCCTTTTCCAGGCTGATAAGTTCCACATATATGTGGATTACTGCAAGAACAAACCAGACTCCAGCCAGCTGATCCTGGAGCACGCAGGCACCTTCTTTGATGTGAGTATCACAGCACCATCGACGCTTCTTGTCCCCGCCTGTTGTTTTCTTTTGATTGACGTTTGATTGTTCTGGGAAAAAATATAAAATCATGTTACATCTGTATCTCCATGTTTGTGAAGCTAACATCTGTCTTATGTTTGATATATTAAAGTGGCTTCGATGCAGGACACTTGCTGAGTTAGTTACTGAACAGCTTGTGAAAACATAGAGCAGCTGACTGCAGCTCCCAAACACTCTGATGAAGAGGAGGAAGCTTCACTTTATAAATGACGATGTACTTTTCTAAGAACGAGTCAGATTTCTCAGTTTCATTTGCAAATGCTTGTTTAGCATTTTTACAGCATCAGCTGGCACGTTCTGGGCTCCTTTAAACTCGGGCGACCAATCGTCCTCTTTCTGCACTTGCTGTAAAAGCCTGAGTGACATGTTTTATTTCATGAACCGCACCGAGGAGGCATCGTTTAAATATGTCATATAGCGCTTTTTTACTCTTCTGAGCACTCAACTTGTGCATTCACCCATTCACACCCATACTGCATTGGATAGCAATTTGGGCAAGTTGCTATCTAGTATCTTGCCCAAGGATATTTGGCATGCAGGCTAGAGGAAGCCAGGAATCGAACCACCAACCTTGCGATCAGTAGATGACCTGCTCTACTGCCTGAGCTACAAGTTTTTCATGACTGGACCAATCGGCCTCTTTTTTGGAAATCAAAGTATGGTCACGGTTTTTTAACCCCATTAAAAGCTCCTTCAGTGTACCTGATGCTGTTTTTATACTAAAGAAGCTGATTGGATCAACACACACTCGCTGTGTTACACTCAGCGTGCCGGGTTCATTTGTCGAGCACATGTGGAAGACAAATAGACTCAGTGGCATGCTGTCATTTCTCCCTGTACGCACAAACAGTGTGTAATTGCTCTTCTGTCAGCAGATGGTGCTGTTGCACTGACGTTTACAAGCGTTGAACATTTAATATACACATTTCTGCTGTGTGCAGGAGATTCAGCAGAGACGAGGACTGGCTAACTCAATCTCCTCCTACCTCATCAAACCGGTCCAGAGGATCACCAAGTACCAACTACTGCTAAAGGTGAACAGAACCAGTGTGGGTGAATCCGCCCACGTGCTGAGTGGGAACTCGTAGAACGTGTGGTTTAAATGGAGCAAATATTTATAGATCGATCCCCTTTCATCAGTTTTAACATCTCGTCCTGTCCTCCTGCAGGAGTTATTGTCCTGCTGCGAGGAGGGAAAGGGAGAGATCAAAGACGGTTTGGAGGTGATGCTCAGCGTTCCTAAGAGAGCAAACGACGCCATGCATCTCGCCATGTTAGAGGGTAAGAGACCGTCCTCGCACACTTCCTCCTAGCACTGATGTGAAACATGGTTGTTCATGCTTGGCTCTTCTGTAGGCTTTGAGGAGAACCTGGAGGTGCAGGGTGAGCTGATCCTGCAGGACAGTTTTCAGGTTTGGGATCCACGCTCGCTCATCAGGAAGGGTAGGGACCGGCACCTCTTCCTGTTTGAGTTCTCTTTGGTCTTTAGCAAAGAGATCAAAGACTCAGCTGGCAGAACCAAGTACCAGTACAAGAACAGACTACTGGTGAGCGGGTGGTTTCAGCCACGACTGATGTTCTCGCTGTGTTTGTGTCCACATACATGTAGAAATAGCCATTGTTGCTTTAACTGTACCCCCTCCCTTACTCTTCCCGCAGACGTCAGAGTTGGGGGTGACTGAGCACATTGAGGGCGACCCTTGTAAATTTGCTGTGTGGGCTGGAAGAACCCCATCCTCTGATAATAAAACTGTGCTGAAAGTACGTGAAATTAAATGTAAACGAAAGTCTGGGCTCTCTGCTTTCATCAGCTGGGATATTAAAGCTGTGACTTCTCCAGGCATCCAGTATGGAAGCTAAACAAGACTGGATTAAGAACATCAGGGAGGTGATCCAGGAGAGGATGACTCACCTGAAGGGGGCGCTTAAGGAGCCGCTTCACCTGCCTAAAACACCAGCACTGACCAAACCCAGGAATAATGCTAAAAGGTGAAGAAACACATACTTTTGCTGGGATTACTATAGTACACTGTAGCACACAGATTGATGGATGAAGGTTGCCGGTTCGAGCTCTGGCTCCGACAGTCTCGGTCGTTGTGTCCTTGGGCAAGACACTTCACCCGTTGCCTACTGGTGGTGGTCAGAGGGCCCGGTGGCGCCAGTGTCCGGCGGCCTCGCCTCTGTCAGTGCGCCCCAGGGTGGCTGTGGCTACAATGTAGCTGCCATCACCAGTGTGTGAATGTGTGTGTGAATGGGTGGATGACTGGATGTGTAAAGCGCTTTGGGGTCCTAAAGGGACGAGTAAAGTGCTATACAAACACAGGCCACTTACCATTTACCATTTACCGTGGATTCACCGTGACAGAAACACAAGCGTGGGCACAAAGGGAGCGGTAGGACTGTCCTGTTATTACCGTCACAGATATGTGGAAGACTGAAGCTGCTGAAAAATAGAGAAATAAGCAGCGTTTATTTTAACCATTGAGCGCGATGACTCAGTGTTAGCCTCACAGCAAGAATATCGTGGGTTTGTGTGGAGCATTATGTGTGGGCGTACTCCGGCTTGTACCTGCAGTCCACACACATGCAGTTAGTGGGGTTAGGCCGTAAACTTGGCGTAGGTGTGCCTCGCCTCTTGCCCTGTGGAAGCTGAGAGAGGCTCCAGGCCCCCTGACCCTTAACTGGATAAGCAGGAGGAAGTGAATGGGTTCTAATTTACACGATGAATGAAGACCAATGTTTGTATTCATGTCGTTGTCTTGATCCAATTACAGGTTTCAGATAAACAGCAGTTATTTTAAAGTGTGCCACAGACATAAAGTCCTGTAACTTAACAGCAACCCATTCTGTGACATCACATGTGCATCACATGAGTAGAGCTAGCTTAGCCGTTTCTGCTGGGTGGAACGGGAATCGGACCAAAAGGACATACAGAGGACATGGAATGATATGAAATGTGTAAAAAATGATTGTTAGCCTCGTCAGTAAGACCTTTCACATTCATCCTGGTTGTGCTGTGTGTTTCTGCAGGGAGGGAGGTGAAGACGGAGACAGTCAGGGAGACGGCAGCAGCCAACCAGACACCATCTCAATTGCATCCAGGACATCCCAGAACACTGTAGACAGCGACAAGGTAGGAAACACCGTCGCTGAGCATCTGATACTGACGAGCTGACGACTCACAGCTGTATCAGCGCTACAGGGTTTCCTGTGCAGCTTAAATGAGCAGCAGCAGGGGCTGGGCATGCTCACTGTTTGGAGTGTGTGTTCAGTTCACACATGTGAACGAGAAGTCATCAACAATGCTGCCAGAAAAACAATCAGTTGTGAAAGCCCTTTTCAGGCTGTGTGCAGGCACCTGCACGGACTCCTACCAGGCAGCCTCTGACATCAAAGTAAGACCTTTTGTGTTGCTGCTTTAGCTGTATGAAGGTGCAGAATCCAGGTCTTATCTTATCGCTGTTTTTCACATTCTTATTTTTAACTCGCAGGTGGAGGTGTGTTCGTACACGTTCACTGCCAGAAAAAACTTTGGCCTCTTGAGCCTTTCCTCTGCTACGAGATCTCCATCTTGAGAGCTTTTTAGGCGGTTTGTTTTATTTTTTCCTTTTTAAAAAATGTTTACTTCATCACGAGGATGAGCTCCTTATATGAGGAAGCTCAGTGAATATGAGCAAACAATCAAAAGGGCATAATCGTAGACATGAGTTTGGTGCGATTCTTGTCTTGGCTGTTTGTCAGCACACACACACACACACACACACACGGAAAACCTGACACAGATGTCAGTCATGGCCTCCTGCTGTAGAGTTACATGGTGTGTCCTTTTCACAGTGCAGCCCTCACGCCTACACGCTGGCTCGCCTCTAAATGTCAGCAGCACACACAGACTCACACCAGACTCGGTTTGTCTGAAACATGCGTCCACACTGTGCATGTATACGCCATCAATCCCACAGGCAGCTACGCTCTGACCTGTGTTTTTTACATGTGTGTGGACCCCACCTCTTTCTGTCCAATGAAAACAGAATGAGTTTTTCCAGTCCTTTCTGAGTGTGGGCGTGTTGTTGCTCTGCTCTGGTTTATTGTTTCTAGGATTTAGAAAACTCCAGCTTGCCTATTTTTGGAGCCTCCTCTGCTGTTGTCCAAAAAACCAAACCTCAGAAGTAAAAAAGCTTTTGTCCTGCAGTTTGCTCTGATTTATTTCACAGCTTCAACCGTGAGAGTCACATGTCTTTATTTCTGGTTTCCGAGTCTTTACATTGAGCTGTTTTGTAATTTGGTGGTAAAATAGGGACAGTGCTGTGAGTTTTCATGCTAAAGTCCTTTGCTTAGAGCTGTTTGTCTTTTCTTGCAGTTCATGATTGTAGTTGCTGGACGAGTATTTTCCCCAGAAGCACAATGAAACATTGTTTTTTGCTCATGTGTCAAGGCTGATGCTGTAATCGTTTGTTGTGTTCCCATGGCTCTGCTGACCCGCAGGGATTTATTATCATACAAGTGCATCAATCCCTTGTGTATCGTGGAGACAACTGTATTAAATCAATGATCTGAGCAGACATATTTGTTCAGTACAGCAGTCGTTCTTAATGTGTACTCATTGGTTCTCTCAAACTTCTCCATCAGCAGTCTGAAGCACTAAAATGTTCTCAAATCAAATCTCATTACTTCATATGTGTGAAATGTGACTGAATTCATTAGAAAGCTTCTTACAATCTGTCACTCAGGCTGCGTTTTTCTTTGGGAACTGTCTTTGCAGTTTTTTAAATATTCAGTCAATCACGCAAGGAAGAGCATGCAAGTGAACGGCTGTAAGCAAGAAGTAGTGTCCCTAGAAAAGATAAAGTAGTCAGTCTGACCCAGTCCTGGAGAAAGCTCCAACCCAGATGAAGGCCCAGCATGAGTAGTGGTCAGAAGAAGGGAAGAAAGGTAACTGGGGACAAACCGAGCCAATCCCGCTTTGCCTGCTGCGCAGGGACCAATTCAGGGGACAAAGACAAAGGCAGGGACCAGTTTGCTTTTTGGGACATTTTTGTTTGGTGATGTGTGAATTTCCTATGTGCTGTGGCTCTAAAAGGTTGGGAAACACTGCTCTATGTAGAGGGTTGGTAACTCTACCGTGTGGTATTGGATTTTCACTCTCATGTACGCCTCAAACCTGACTGATCGTTGGCAGCAGGCGGCTGTGTGCAGTCTGTAAACACTTCAGCAAACTGTCACAGACATTTTTAAGTTAATTGATTTCGGCAAATAAGCTGATCAGGCTTTGCACTTACATACAAGTTTCTGAGAGTTAGCAGCTGTGTGACGGCGGCTCACAGGACAACAGCTTCAAGCAGCTTCATAGTGGTCGTAGTGAGAAAGTCTCAGCTGTGAAGACTTCGAGCTGCAGCAAGAAAGCCAGACGCCAGAATAAAACAAAGAGGCTTGTTAAGACAGCCACACTGGACTACTGAAGGTTTTATGGACTGATGAATCAAAACTTGAAATCTTTCGTTCATCGTGCAGGATCTTTGTACGGCGTCAAGAAGGTGAAAGGACGGTTCCACAGTGTGTGGCATCAACGTCAAACATGGAGGAGGAAGGGTGATGGTCTGGGGCTGTTTGCTGATCCAGGGTCAGTGACTGAACCTAAACAGCTACCACAGCACCATGAAGCACCATGCAGCACCCTCTGGTATGCACCCAGTTGGTCGGGGGTTCATCCTACAGCAAGATAATGACCCAAACCATCAGTCCAAGCTGTGCCAGAACTACCTCAGGAACAAGAACAAGATTGTGAGCTTGCAAACGTGGAGTGTCCAGCACAGCCTCCAGACTGAAACCCCATCGAGCTGGTTTGAACTGGACAGAAGAGGGAAAGCAAAGCAGCCTACGAGGTCCACGTTTATGGGAACTTCTGCTACAGATGTGGGAGAAGATCTGATGTCTGTTGTAGACAGAAGCCTCGGCTGTGTTCAGCTGTTATATCTGCCAAAGGTGCTACTGATGAGTCAAAGGTTAGAATACGGTTTGGTCTAAAATGAAATCTAAATTTATTCCGTAGTTTCTTTTTTAACTGCAGGTGTTTATTTGTGCTGTGCTTTCATTTCAGAGTGCAGTGAGACAAACGGGATACTATTCAATAAAAACGGAAACACTGGGGTTTCCAAAGTCTGTTATTACAATCTTAAAATGATGTCAGCAAGAGTTGAGTCACTGCTGCCGTGAGCCAATCACACTGTTGTGTTCCTGTTTCTCGTTATTCTTCTACCTTATTCTAGTTGCTCCGTTTCTTTGCCGCTTCACTACTCCCTCAGTTTTTATCCGATTTTCACCATTCAAACTTTAAGCTGTTCTGCTCATTCTGCTAACGCCAGCTATATCTTTTGGTGCTGATAACTTTCATACTTTTTGAGATATTAAGCTTTTTATGCAATTTTTTTTGATGAATGGGACCCATTATCAGTGTGGGTACAGGACACGTGAAAGCCTCGCCCAAGCACAGGCTGCTCAGGGTTGTAAAGTGCTAGAAAAATTCCATAAAAGTATATAACAGTACTGAAAGGGACTAAAGAGAGAGCCTATTTCTCCTGTTTCGGCTTCTTTCTCTGGCTCCCTGTTGAATCTGGAAAGGATTTAAATCTGACTTGTCCATTGTCTTGAATGATCAGGGCCGTGTTATCTTAAAGACCTCATATTACCACAACAGAGCACCTCGCTCTCACGCTGTCGATGTATTTGTGGTTCCTAGAGTAGCAGAGCCTCCAACTTTCAGACTTGTGTGGAAACAGCTGACGCTTTGGGACACGGACACGATCTCTGCTTTAAGATTAGGCTTCAAACTTTCCTTTTGCCACCAGATTAGTTTAAACACATAACAACAAACTGGCACGTACGTTCACACTGACAGATTAACTGAGGTGGAGGGGGCCTGTCAGGGTTCTCTTAGGACAGCTTGGCTCCTTGTTGTTCCTGTGACACCTACACCATGGGTCTGTCACTCCCTCATCATGTATGGAAGCTTGTAAGGGATTGCTCTGTCATATTTATGCTCTTTGTTTTAAATGAAGACAAAGGCAGCCCAAACCACAGTTTAACACAGCCACACTGTCTTTGTTGGTTAAACACAGCCTCACCAGTTTGATGTGATGGCATCATGACAGTAGTTTTTAACTTCCTGTGGTAAGCTGGGTTTCTTCTTCTATGGCTCATTTAAAAGGCACTTCTCATGGGTCTAAGCAGCCTCTTGTAAGTATCGCAAATGGCTGCGTCGTTTAGTTCTGACAAACTGTCAGTGTCACAAATCTAAGGTTGGAAATTGTAGGTTTGCAAACAATAGTCATGATTATTTTTTTCCTTTTATCCATAAACTGAGCTGATTTCTTTCTTACATCGATTTAGTTGTGAAACGGTCATTTTATTCATTTTAACTTGGTTATCTGAGTTACATGTATCTAGTTTGAGCGAGGTCATCTCTAACGTCGTGGTATATAAGTCAGTCTCTGGAGTCGTTCTGTGATGTTGCTTTGATATAGTGAGTCACTGTGGTTTAGTTATTTAAAGCATTGTTCCAGCGGCTGATGACTTGGTCTTCACTGCTCCGCTGTCAGAGCAGTGAAGACACGTTTTTATCCTGAACTTTTACTTTAATTGAACATGGTTCTCATTTCTAAGCCAGGCGCAGTAATGCGTCCTCGCAGTCTGCACATGCAGAGATGAATATATCAGCGTACATAAAATCCACTGACAGAACAACAACCCTCACGACTGCCTGATGCCGGGAGATTTGACCTGGGCTGGGTTATCATAGGAAGTGTACGCCTTGGCGGTGAACCAATCAGTGCCTACGACACAAACCCCTCAGAGCAGAATCCTCCTGTCTTTGATCCATGTACGCTGCATGAAGACCCAAACAACAGTTGGACGGGCCGCTTAATAATAGCAGTGACAATAGTAATGGAGACAATAGTGAGCATGGAGGCATACTAGCATACAGCTCACTGCATAGCTGCTAGCTATGATCTCCAGTGTCTGGAGTGCCACAAGTAAAATTACACTTCACAATTACACGGGTCGCTCTCAGGAGCTCAGTGAATGCCAGTGTGGTACCGAGCCAGGATGCAACCTGTGCAACAACTCGACTAAATACTC